GAACCCTTCGGAAGTTCAAAGGATAAGCTTGTGCACCGTGTGCGGTTCGGCGTTCATCTCCGGGCTCCTGGAGAGCATGTATGATGTCGCGATGGCCTTGTAAAGACGGGACTATACTATAACGAGATGGCGTTGGACTTGGGGAGGAAAATCCGTAGGAGGTTGGCTTTTGCTCTGGGGTTTATTTTCTTTTGCACACCATGCCTCCCCCCCACGGGACAATGACTGATGGGACTTTGGTCAGACGATGTGGGAGGTGTGCGCGGCGTTAATTAGGAGTTGTTTGTGATGATACCCAACGATCATGGTGATCTAAAGCAGCAGGGATTCTCCCTGTTGAATATCAAACCTGTAATGCGTCTGAGACGCTCCTCCAACCACAGTTTCTTTTGTAGGCCATTGAGTTCACAATAAGCTGCGCGATCGTCCGAGCGGCGTTTTGGGGGCAAAAGTTGTTGGGCTGGCGGCGAACAGCACGCGACAAAGCAAAGGCGGCGCTGCGGTTCGGAAGCCTTCCACCCGCATCTTCGTCGTCTTTCGCTGTGTCTCTCGCTCTGTCACTTCTGCCGCCTTGGCTTCCTTTCCTCTTCTCTCTCTCTCTCTTCTCTCTTCCTACTCTTCTCCAGTTACTTTCCCTCAACCTGCGCAAATACCCTTCTCCCTTTCCTCCTCTCCTCTTTATTTCTACTTTACCCTTTTTCTTTGTCCTACTACCCCCCTTCTCTACCAAACAACTAGACTCCCTCCCAGCGTCTAGCATCTCACAACTCAGCTACAATGGCCGCCGCCGCTGTCAACACCAACCCTCCTCCACAGTCCGAGACCTCAGAGAAGCACAAGCCGAACCATGCTTCCAGCCCTTCGATCGCTTCCAAGGCAGAGGTCAACGGTTCCGATAACCATGAGCATCAACACTTCAAAGAACTTCAGAAGTGAGTCATCCGAGAAATCAGCCTCGGCGCTTCTCACCATTTGACCGGGGAAAAGAGACCAAATTAGATAGGATGCTAACTACAGTGCTATAGGAGCCTGCGCAATGCTATGAAGAAGCTGGTTCGTTCACTCAACTCAATTTTAGGTCCCTGTACACCGCTCACATTTGCCCCATCCAGAATGCGACCGCTAAGGTTGACGCCATCATCGCCGAAAACCCTGGGAAGTCATTGGACGAGCTCGTCGCGGAGAAGAAGATCAACGTCGATCAGAAGGCTCAGGCCCTGAAGAAGCCTTCCCTCCAGGCCGCTGTTGCTCAGATCGAGGAACAGATTGCCCAGTTCAAGAGCTTCGCTGCCTATTACGAGGAACGCTTGGTCAGCCAGAAGGCTGAGCTGGAACAGGCCCACAAGGAGCAGCTTGAAGCTGTTCAGAAGCAGGCCACCGAAGCTGCTAGCGGTGTTAGAGAGACGGAGCTCAGACAGAAGCTGCTTAACTTGAGCAAGTTCCTCTGTGCTGCTGCGCGGGTTAGAAACTCGGGAGACGAGACCTCGAATGAGACCCGTGCCTTTGAGGGTGTCCTTTACCAGATCTACGGCGGTACTCAGGATGCTGTCTCTTCCATGCTTAAAATCATCGATGGCGTGGACGAGAAGGTGGTTGGCGTTGACAGCACTCTCCTCGATGTCACCTGTGAGCACTGCCGTCATCCCATGAATTTTGTTTTGCCTGTTGCTAACGATAATTTGTTGATCAGACGGAAGAGTAAAGCAGGCCGCTGCTGAGCTTGCTGGACCAACTGACGAGACCACCACCGCCACCACCGAGGCCGCTCCTCAGTCGGACCCTACTATTGCCAACGCCGGTTACACCGAGCTCCAGGATTCTTCTTACAACACCGACGCTACTGCTACCGTTGCTAACGAGTCCGCTACTGCCGCTGAGCCTGAGGCGGAACAGGTCCAGCCGCCTGCTCAGACTCTCGTTGGCGAGGGTGGTAACGCAGTCGCGGAGGCCAACTGGGATGCCAATGCTTCTGGTGTCTCCTCGGCCAACACCGAAGGCTGGGTAGAAGTCCCCCGGGACCCCGCCGAGACCGATACTGGCCTCCAGGCCACACCTGCAGCGGCGCAAGCTGAGGTAAAGACCAGCCCGGCTGCCGAGCAGGGCACCGAGAATGTTACTGTGCCGAAGGACGGCTTCGAGCAGGTACACCACCAGAGACAGCCTAGTGTTCGCGGACGTGGTCGTGGCGGACATGGCCGTGGACGTGGTGATGGTTTCCGGGGACGCGGACGCGGCGAGTTCCGTGGCCACGGTCGTGGTCGCGGCCGTGGTGGTCGGGGCCGTGGCGGAGCCAACGCCAATGGCAATGGCGCTCCCAGTGCCGCTCCTGCTGGAAACCAGTAAGCCAGTGCAGCTCGGAACAGGATCGATCCGTCGCCTGGCTTGGGGGCTGTGCTCCTCTGTGAGAAGTACATCTCAATGCCGACGCGGTCCTGATGCTGGCTCCTTGCCTTCTGAATGGCACTGGGCCTTGTCCATGCTACATCTTTACATCTTCCCCGCTTTTATCATTGCAGCCGTCGGGGCGTTGTGCTTTCCTTTGTCTATCCTCTCTCATACTAATAAACTCATGGGTAATGGCGGTGTCATGGTTGACGAAAGCAATGACTCTTGAAATGATTACAATACGGAGCTATGAGGGCGACACGCTGCCGATGAACCAGTCATCCGGTAGCATTGCTCGATGTTCCTTTTGGATTCTCTTCCCCAAGGTTCCGGTTGTATATGTTTGCAGTTATTGAGCGTGCATAATGTTGCTCTTTCATATCTTTTCTTTTACCTTGTCTTTCGAGCTGTGATGACCGCTTCCACAGGGCCATTGCATTCGGATGGTGGCGGCAAAGCTCGTCATATTGGCCATCTACTATTCTTTTCCTGTATTTTATTCATTTGCATCTTATGTTGACATGGAGGGTTGCAGGCCAGGGCGGTTCGCAGCGACAGGAGCAGGGGAGAATGTCTGGCCGTTGACGGCCGGGACGAAGTTGTTAGGAATATAGGGTCAAAGTGCAGCTCGGCGGCAATGGAAGCCAGCGGCACACTTACTTTTCCTCGCCAGATTGGACGAACCAGTATAAGACCATTGTAGATGCAAGTATGAATGTAAGCGAAATGGATAGATCAACTCGAATTGACCCGAAAAGGCAGCCAAGGCCGAGTCCCGCATCTGATAGGGCTCAGGGCTATGACATAATTGGCAGGTGCCTCGGAGAAGATGCCATCGTGTTGTTGTTCTTCTTCGACCTGCCTTTCTTATGCTGCTGAACGCTGCTATCCTTCGTTCCATTTCTGTTCCTCATGTTTAATTAAACCCTTTCTATTCACTCTCTTCTTCCGGTCTTCTTTTCTCTCTCTTTCGTCTTGACCTTTTAGTGTACCCCGCACCTCGCCGTCTCACCACTATGGCGGTCGCCGCAGACCAGCGGAAGAAGATCCTCAAGGTCTTGATGACCTCGTTGCTCTTGGATTTGGTATGTTTTGCTGCTGTTACTCTCGTTCTCATGAGCTGTTCTCTCTAACTGTTGGTCTAGATATCCTTCACGTTCATTCTACCTCTCTTCCCATCTCTCCTCTCCTTCTACCGCAACCAAGACCCCTCCCCAAACTCGCTGCTGAACCGCGTCTTCCACTATCTCAATGCCTACAAGAACTCCTTCGCAAAGCCCATCGACTCGCGCTATGATATTGTTCTCCTCGGTGGCGCTCTCGGATCTCTCTTCTCCTTCCTCCAGGCCCTAGCCGCCCCCTTTATCGGCCGTCTCTCCGACCAGCGCGGCCGCAAGACCGCCCTACTCTACTCCATGGTTGGCAACACTCTCAGCGTCGCTCTCTGGGTCGCTGCTACGGATTTCCGCACCTTCCTGGCCAGTCGCATCGTCGGTGGTCTTAGTGAAGGGAATGTGCAGCTGGCCAACGCCATTGCAACCGACATCAGCGATCCCAGCCAGCGCGGCTCGACCATGGCCCTGGTGGGCGCCTGCTTCAGCATCGCCTTCACCTGCGGACCCGCCCTAGGAGCATTTCTCTCGAACATCACCACTGTGGCAGCAAACCCCTTCGCGACCGCAGCCGGCGTCTCCCTTCTGCTTATTGTCGTCGAAACCGCATACATCTACTTCTGTCTGCCGGAAACTCACCCTCGTTTCACCAAGCTCACTCATACCTCTTCAACCACCACGTCTGCCTCGAAGCCCCCCACGTCCATATCCACCCCCACCCCCAAACGCAAACAACACACCAACAACCCCGCCGTCCTCAACGCAATCCACTTCCTCTTCCTCCTCCCCTTCTCCGGCCTTGAGTTCTCCCTCCCCTTCCTAACCGCCACCTTCTACGCCGGCAGCCAAGCCAGCCCCTCCGCTCTAAATGGCCGCCTCCTCTCCATGATGGGTCTAATCGCCTCGCTCCTCCAAGGCACTGTCGTGCGCCGTCTGCCCCCACTCGTGACAGTCCGTGCCGGCGTCCTTGCCTGCACCGTATCCTTCTTTATGCTCGCGCGCGTCTCCTCCCTCTCCGGCCTTTACGCCGCCGGCAGCCTCCTCGCCATCACCAGCGCCACGGTCGTCACGGGTCTCAACAGTCTGGGTAGCTTCGAGGCACAGGAGTCGGACCGCGGTGCGGTCTTGGGTAGACTCCGTAGCTGGGGCCAGGTCGGACGCGCGGCGGGACCGTTGCTCTTCTGCTCGTTGTTCTGGTGGGTTGGGCGCGAAATCGCCTACACCACGGGTGGAATCGCGATGGTCACCGTTTGCGTGGCTGTATTCACGTGCTTGAAGTCGCCGAACATTCCTGCCAAGGCGTAGGTAGTTGTCAGTTGATTTCTATTGGATTGTTTGAAAGATCATGTGACGAAAAAAGATAGATTTATAGATTGAATACTACTATCGAGTGTACGCTATTCATCTTTGCGGTTTTATCAACATGATGTGCAATAGATCAGATAAGATTTACTATCTACTGGCTAACCGGCTGTATCAGCGAGTACTAGCAAACTATATATTCACATTACAATAAATAATACAATACAACTTCAATAGCAGTACTGGGTATAATACACATCGGAGAGGGCTGGTAAGCGGAAGGATACATATAGTTAACAAGACAAGGAGTGGAGAAAAGAGGAGAATAAGTATGAACATCTAGAACTCTGAAAAAATCGGCACCAACTGATGAAAACAAGCAAAGCAGATAGCCAGCTACCGTGAAACAAAATCAGAATACTTGAACACAATTTTGAGATCGTGCAGTTCCCTTTTTCTTCATACCGCCTCCCAACCGCCTCTATCGTTTGTTCCCCTTGGTTATGGGAACAGAAGAGAGTCTCAAATAGTGGAAGTGGAGTACCGAATGATCAAATGGAAACCAATATGGCCATGTAACCATATCAGTAATATCGGAAGGGTAAAACGAGGCCTGAGGGCCTACAATCACCGACCATGGGGATAATAATGTTGTTCAAGATGGTACCGATCCCTATCGAGGCACTCCTGCGCATCCTGCCAATGACAGCCCTGCATAGCTAGCCCCGGCTCTGCAGCAGGGTCAAGCGATCCTCTCGCCTTACCGATCAACCAATCAGTCAGAGTCACGAACTTGGGCGTGCGATTCCATCCGCGCGCATCATCCGCGTGCTCAATCGTATGCGACGCAATGCGACCTTCCTCGTCGAAGGAGAAGATGAAAAGTCCGGTGAACTGCTCTTCTTTCTTCAATTTGAAGATCGGAGCGTCCCCGCCCAGCAGGACGCTAAGGCCTTTGTTGATCCCGGCTTTCGAAGATGAGAGGTGACTGCCATTACTTTTGTTGGTGCCTTGGGTATCGCTTGGTAGCGTGGGAGATGCGGCGGTGAAGGATGTGCTGGAGTGTTCCGAGTTGGAGGTAGTGGATTCGCTCCGCGGCTCGGTTCGCCAACGCACGACGAGACGCTCGTCGCTGGTATCGTGGTCGCTGTCCGGTCGTTCGGGTTCGAGGACCGTTCCTGCGCGGACGATGCGCTCACTGAGGATTTGGAGCTTCACGTTTCCTAGTAGGGGAAGGCTGCTCCATGCTACTGGGACGGTCCAGAGCGCGGCGCGGTAGAGTGTTCGGCCCTTGACGGTGGGGAGATGTGGGTGCGTGGAGGGGAAGAGGTGCAGGGCTATGCTGGGGGAGAGAATATTTGGGGGTAGCGGGTTGATGAGAAGGGTGGGGAGAAGAGGCGAGAGGATGCGGAGAGCTATGGGAGGTTGGCTCGGTCAGCACCGGGTCCATTCTGTAGAACTTTCCTGTTGGGGAGCACTCACTCTTTCCAAGCTTCAGGATGCGCTCGTCGGGAGGTTCATGATCTCGTTTCGAGCCCCCGTCAAGAGGATCCGATACAGATGGTCGGAAACCAGTTTGCGAGAAAAGTGTCGGAGACTCGCGGGTCAACTGCGGGCCATGTATGATATCTGGTCGTGGCTGGGCCAGAGTCCGCGGGGAAGGAGAGACGAAGTATTGTTCTCGGGAGACAGGCGGTTTTATCGGAGAGGGTGTTGAAGGAGGTAGTAGACGACGTCGGAGAGCGCGTGGCGCAGGGCCAGAGACCAGCTTCGGCGGCATTCCCGGAGGTTCACCCAGGGAGTTTGTGTTGGGAACAGATCAATGCATGCCTTGCGGGATGGCAGCGGAGGGTTTGAGTCAAGTCATAAGCTGACAGATGCATGAGACAGCAAGTGCAGAGGGAAGATGGAGTGAGGATGGAAGGAAGTCGAAAAGTAATGGAAATGGCATCGAAATGCAAATGAAGTTCAATGGAAAGTAAGCGGAAGATGACGTCGGCCCGCCCCGTCGCAGCCTGAGGCAACACAAGAATATAGATCTAAGAAACGAAGAAAACGAAGATCAAGAATGCAAAACTCCGTGCATTTGGTATCTATTTACATCCGCACCATATAATTGAATTGCTTTCTCATGCCAGTTCATCATCATCATCTGCCCCCATGTACCGTCGCTCTGCCAGCTCGCGAATCTTGTCCTCCAGCACGCCTCGTCCATAACGCTGCGCAACCTTAACAGCTGCCTCCACCATCTTGCCATTGCGGTCGCGCATCATTTGCACCAGTTCCAGAGCCTTCATGCCTCGCTCTTCACCCTCGCGACATTCCACCGCCAGTAGCTGCAGCAAGAACTTGTCCACTTCCAACTCCTTCCGCGCCAACTCTGCTCGCTGGCCGGTAGTGGCGTTGGTAGATCCCAAGAGGTCCTCAAACAGGGACAGCATGATGTTGCTGCGAACAAACGCCTCCTCGAGTCGTGGCCCCTCTCCGCGTGTGCTGCCTTCTTCCTCATCTTCATCCGGCCCCTTCCCAGGCGTGTCCGTGATGGGGACGCGGAAGTCGAATTCACTCAGCAAAGGCCTGGGGAAGTACGGGTATTTATCCCCTCCCTTGAGAATGATGCAGTGGAACTTGTCTTGAGCCACGGCAACGGGCCAGTAAGTCTCCTCCTTGCGGCCGCTCGCAAGACGCTCGAGCTGTCTCGTATCCAGCAGCGGTACCCAGCGAGCTTGCCCGTTTGCGCGCCAGTGTTGCAGGATGAGCAGAACGCCTTCGGAGTCGTAGATACATGGGTCCTACAGATAGTCATTAGCACATCGAATCTGGTAAACCTGCTCATGGTTTACTCACTCCTGCATCAGAAAAGAAGACACTCCGCAGCTCGGCACCCTCAGGGATGGCGACCACATCCTCATTCTGGCACACTTCGTCCCGCTTGACATTCTCCACAGTGTACCGCAGCGTGGCAGTACGACCATCGCTTCCTAGCGGGCCATTGCCCACCGTCATGATATAATCTCTCCAGGCGGCGCAAGTAACCGCCGGGCTCTTTTGTCGGTATACTTTGAACGGTGTGCCGAATAGCGTATATACACGGACATAGTCCTTTGTCGTGACAGCGACAATGTAGGAATCACTGAGCGCCAGCGCTGCCATTTTATCAGCACCCTCAGTCTCCTTGGGTGTTTAGTCGGCTGGTGCTTACCTCGAATGAACTCGCCCTTCGGCAGCTGTGTCCGCCAGTCCGCACGCGTCGTCCACGTCTCATGCGGACGATAGAAGATCGTAGCAGGGCTGCCGTCTGTGGGGTTGTTGGAGAATAGCGTTCCGTGCTCATCTAGATATCGTTAGCCAAACCGTTGATCCGATCTAGGAGATCCATTAAACATACTGAGACACGCCCGGTCGTATAGGTAGGGATCAGTGAAATGGAAATCACGATGAAGTTCACGGTCGTAAAACTCCACTGTCACTGTGTTGTGGGTTTCTTGATCGACTGTCCAGACACAGCCGGTCAGGTTCAAACCTAGTAGAGTCAGCACACCTGGAACCAGCACCACTCAAGCTGCTCGAGCACACATACACAGATAGCGTCGGTTACCCCTCCAAGGCGTACTTCCCGGCTGAAGAGGAGGATGCACCTTAGGTTTTGCAAACGAGGTCAATAGCCGCTTGTCCGGACGGCCATCTGCATCATCGAGATGAGAGCCCGCACGCTTGCCCCGTGCGAGATCCTCAGCATACCCAGCCCCATCATCGTCCTCCACAAAATCCTCCATGCCGACATCGTAATCGAGGACATCATCCAGTGAATCGGGTGTGCGCGCCCGCCGTTCAACTGACTGCTTGGGCCGGTTCGCCAGCGGTGGTCTCACGTTGTTCGAGATCTCCGTCAAAGGTCCAGAAAAGATCGGTGCAGCCTGAAGCGGCTTCTGGAGGAGTGGTTGGTGCTCTCTCGGAACAATACCGTCATAGATGAACAACTCTCCGTCGGATGTCGTGAACGACAGCGAGTTATTGCTGGGGTGCCAGGCGAGATTGATGACATTCGCAAAATCGTACCGTTCCAGAACCTTTTGAGTCTTCGTCTCCCAGAGCAGAACCTGGCCATCCTTACCGGCAGTTGCCAGTAGTGCCCCATTAGGTGACCAGCTAATCGCCGTGACCTCTCCGTTATGCCCACCAGAGAACACTTTCTCTTTCTTCCACTCGCCCACCGAGAAGATAGCAATATCCCGGGTCGCTTCCGCGGACGCAAAGGCCGTTCCATCCGGATGCCACACGATCCGCGCGGTCGCTTCATCCTCCGGTTCCAGCCTTCGGATCACTCCATCCACCTTGCGAACCAATTCAGGCTCGTCAGAAAGCATCGAATAGATATAGAGCATCCCGTCCGTACATGACACTGTAACGTACCGCCCGCTGGGGTCGAAGGTGACATGCTTTGTTCCCTTGGCTTGTTCCCGGAGATATTTAACCTTTGTCATGTCCTCGATGTTCACGATCTTGACCGTAAGCTCACTAGCAGTAGCACACAGTTTGTTAGCCTCATCCCTGATACATCAAGTGCTCAATATAAAGGTAGGTTACTGACTCGCTTGCAACAGCCGCCCACTCCCCGTCCTTCGAGACGGCGATATCGCGCACCGGTAGCGCGCATCGAACAAGCAGCTTCTCCATCCGGCCAGACTCTATTTCGTATTGCCAGACGGTACCGTCTTCGGCGCCCATGATAAATGATTCATTCTGCCGCGGGATGTATTAGCATATTATCCAAGCATTTATATCACGCATAGCGTGTCAGTAGAGCATACAGTTGCTCCGATTCCAAGATGTCCATCCACACCCTCATCAATTGTCTTCGGCTCTCCATCCTGTCCAACAGTGTAGATCCGAATCGCAGAGTTGGAACCGCCCGTGATAACGCGACGTCCGTCCGGCGTATATGCTAGTACCGTAGTCCCGGGTGTGTCTGGCAGGCAATCACACGATGTTAGGAAGTCGAGGAAGGTATAGGGCGATTGTATACTCACGGGCTGGTCGGCCCCGGGGACGCATAGCTTCAGTAGCCATGGTGGGGTGACGAGAAATACGATGCCTCTGGAATTATGATAAAATCAAGTAAGTAGTTTCAGCGCATCGATCTAGCCCCGATCTGACATTGTATGTGACGCTCGTGGTTGCGATGCGGAGGTGAGACTCTCTCCGGCTCTCCTGCAACGCGCCGCCCGATTTGGGGAACGCGTTCCGCGCGTTGCATCTACTTTTGCCTATTCGGGCGGGAATGAAGGGCTTAGGGCACTGGGTCAGGGCTGCCGATAATCTACCTGTCTCATTCCTACAACAATTCAATATCTATGGTTTACTTTCCATCATAAATGATGGTCCACTCGCTGCGAGAAAGTCAAAATCAGCGCCATCCTGTGCCTGGTTCACCGATCGTTCATACAGCCCTCGATACCCTCTTTTCCTCTGATTAGCATGCGATGCTTCCGCCCCGCTAGCTTTGAGCGCCTGTTTCCGGGCGTCAATTCGCCGTTTCAGCTCTTCATCTGAAATCCCAAGCTGAAGCTTTCTCGTCGTAATGTCGCAAGTAATCAAATCGCCTGTTTGGACCACTCCGAAGGGCGACTCCTGCAGCGCTGACTCGGGTGATATATGAAGAACAATAGTACCTCCTGCTGTTCCTGACATGCGTCCATCGGACAGCCGTAGCATATCCTTGACACCTGCGGCACCAAGCTTGAGTGGGATAGGTATCAGGCCTGCTTCGGGCATTCCGGGGTTGCCTATGGGCCCGATGCCCTTTAGAACCAAGACTGAATCTGGAGTGACCTCGAGGTTGGGATCATCGATGCGCTTGGCGAGGTCTACGGAGTTCTCGAAGACAACGGCCGGCCCAGAATGAGAGAGCAAGCGTCGATCCTTGGATGCAGATGCTTTCATGACGGCTCCATCGGGAGCAATATTTCCCCGAAGAATGACTAGCGAGGATGAAGGGTGGAGAGGATCAGATAGCGGTCTGATGATCTGCTGCGAAAGGGGAAATGTTCTGAACGGTGAAGAATCCAGTACTTCGCCCAACGTTTGACCGCTTATGGTCATGGCTGAGAGATGAAGAAGTGGGCGGAGAGTATGAAGCAACACCAACATTCCACCTGCATTGTGGAAGTCGTTCATGTAGTTGTCACCACTTGGCTTTAGGTCAATGAGGAGCGGTGTCTGCTGGCCTACTTCCTCTATAGTCTGTAAAGTCATTACCCCTTGTAACTTGGGGTGTCTGTTCACAATAGCCATTAGGTGTACAACAGCATTAGTCGAACCTCCGATAGCTTGTAATACCGTGATGGCGTTTAAAAAGGACTCCTTCGAGAGGATATCTTGAGGTCGTCGTTCAGCGCGTGCCACCGCCACTGCATTTGCCCCTGTTTCCTCGGCCACTCGGATTCTCGCTGAGACTGCTGGCGCGGACGCGCCACGAAGCGGCATCATGCCCAGAGCTGCTGTGATGCATGCCATTGTACTGGCAGTTCCCATAACCCCACACGTTCCGACCTGTTGCAAATATAATCAGCAAAGATTAAGGTCTTCTCGAGCATCATATACTATAATACGAACCGTCGGGGCCAGCTCCTCATTGATAGCCGATATTTCTTCAATATCAATTTCCTTCGCTCGAAACGCTGCCCAGTTATTTCGGCAATCCGTACAAGCCCCAATGCGTTGCCCGCGATGACTCCCCGGCAACATCGGACCCGTTATAAGCGGAAGGATGGGTTTTTTGGCAGAGATGCCGCCCATCAACTGAGCAGGAACAGTTTTATCACAGCCTATGTGATGTTAGCTGAACAGCAATTCCTGAATTTATTTTCTGTGCGTCTAGAGATAGGAAGGGGAAAGGTGGTATGTCCATACCTCCAATCATAACGCACGCATCCAACGGCTGAGCACGAATCATCTCTTCGGTATCCATACTCATCAAGTTCCTCAGAAACATGCTTGTTGGATGAGAAAAGCTCTCCTGGATACTAATCGTCGGGAACTCGATAGCAAGCCCTCCCTGGAGATGAACGCCCCGTTTCACGGCTTCGATCAGCTGAGGGACATTGGCGTGGCATGGATTGAACCCGGAATAGGTATTGATAATGCCAACTATGGGGCGAGAGAGCGCCTCATCGGAGTATCCCAGGGCCTTGATGAAGACTTTTCGCAGGAATAGAGAGAAATGCGCATCGCCATAGGATGATAGGCCTTGACGGAGTCCAGAGGTGGAGGTTATGGGGGTCGATAGGTCATAGTCGCTTCGAGGCGAGGTGTGTGAGATATTCTCCATGACTGATATCTTATGAGGGCAAAAGCAACACGTTATCTCCCTGAAAATTGAATGTTGTCTGCAATTGAAGATGGGGCGTAATGATGTTATACGAGTGATGGCAACATTGTGGGTAGGGTTGCCCGGATTCTTTTCCGCAGCAAAAGCTTGTCATACCTGCATAGTCCCTCTCCCCATTGGCTTCGTATGACTAGTTGCTAGCTTCAACCCGAAAAAGCACTAGGTTCGGTACATGGGTAGTCTACCTAACCTTCGGGCTAAGTCGCTAGAGCCTTCTCAATCGACGTGCTAGCGAATAGTTACAGTTGCTGACAAAAGGAACGGAAGAGAACGATGCAACTCTTCGGCCCGAGCATTGATGACCAACCGATCAGCCTCAATTAGCTTAGAGGATCTATGAGCGAGGACATAATGGAACTGAACTCCGTGTCAATAATCTAGTCCTTCCCTGGTACAATGCCAAGGCACAGGCACTCCTCCACTAGCAAACTGGCTGTGTAGTCTCAGCTCCCTCTCCGCATTACAAAGATACAATCCAACCGAAGTCTTTCAAGCGTGGTTGGTAAGCTATGGTAGTGAGAGTCGGACACAGTTCCCAAGTAATCTCAATTCTGCGGCGATCAGATAGCGTCATAAGAAGTATCTGGGACACTTCGAGGCAGACCGTCGGCCCCTAAAGGTGAAGGGAAGGGGAGTTTGGAAGTGCAAGATAGCTTTGGCAATGACATGGGCTTATTTCGAAACTCCTGTAAATAGTCTTCCATCACTCCCTCCATATCACAGAGCTCAGTGCGCTGTGGAAGTCGTTCGGCAGAAGAGATATTCATTATGATAAGAAGAGACTTAGATCAATGCAAGGCCAATGAATGTATAGAGAAGTGTATCACAAGGGTTGAAATGCATATATACTGATCATGAAATGGTCCGAGGAGACGAGAGATGGTAGTGGCGCTCACGATGCATGTATAGCGGCAACCCACTGGCGTCTTCGTGAAGTGAGGCATCAAGATTATTAACATATCCGTCACTGGCTGACGAACTCCAAACAAACCGACAAAAGAACGAGAAATCCAGGTGACTACCAGTCCATCTCCGCTGACACAGCAGGTTAGGTGGAATCCAGTCCTCCGATTGGAGCACCAAGTCTTCTCGAAGGATGCCCAGAGGGCATGGGCTGATCAGCGCACTAAACCAAAGATCCTACTTACTTTTCCCCTCAATTGTCCTATCGAAGCGCTAGAACGGCACTCCGGATGCAGGGGCCAGAATGCTTATGTTGGTCTCGTTTGCTCAGATTCGCTCGGAAGACCGAAGCATGTAAAGAACTTGATAGAGATTGGACATGTAACCTCAGAACCATCTTTAACCATCTTATTTGCGGGTATCATCGCTGGCACCGCATAAACATGGACGTGGTCTTATAATCTAGATCATGCCACGGATGGCAGTCTTTCCTAACAGCAGATTATTTTGGCCTACCGTCACTAGTAGCAGGCCTCCATAATGTCTTTTCTTTGAGATACTCCAAAGTCGACATCTGGGAAATGTTCCCGGCACCGTGATTCTCCGTCATCTAGGAAGAATCTTCAAAGACCCTTGAACGATAAGGGAAGGATCAGTGATTGCAAATGATATGTGGAGACGAATATGGCAGGTATGCACATATAAGGGTCGAAGACGGTGATGATATCGTGGAGGCACAACTGCTGAGGAATATGTGTGCAGCGTCAAAACGCCGCATGAGGACTCGGCCGTTCCTAGTCGGTCTACAAACTTTGTCAGAATTACTGACGCCTTAGATTGATTAGAGGTATTTCAGATTATACTCGTAATTAAATGTACTATAGCCCCCACCGCTCCTTAAGCACGCTGCGTGATCCGCACCCGGACATCCTTCCGAGGCAGATATGCCGCGCCAGACGGCCGATGTTCAGGAATGGTGAAGCCTCCCTCTTGGGCGGGCTTGACATCCCACATGGTGATGATTGCCGCGGCGAACGCAAGGAGCTTCCTCTCTGCAAAGGCACGGCCCTTGCATCCAGATACTCCGCCACCAAATGGCTTGATGGTGTGTACGTTCGCTTTCCTCTGGCCGGTTTCGGAGTCGGTAGAAATGAACCTCATTGGGTCATAATCACGAGGATTAGCGAAGTATTTGGGGTCTGTATGGAGAACAGCGTGCGGAATAGCCACGGTATCGCCCTTCTTAAGCTCATATGACCGAGGCTGCGCTACGCCGGCGATAGCGGCATCTTCAGCGGATTCCGTGATGGTGAGGTCAGCGGTAACTCCCCGAAACGACAGAGGCGCTGAATCTAAGCGCAATGTCTCATAGAAGCTTGCCTTCAACAAAGGACACGATTTGACTAGCGCATCTGTATCGATTGACAGCTTGGGGGCTTCTTGGAAAGCGAAGCCGCTTTCCTGCCGGACAATCTTCACATAAGGAGCGACCTCCTTGCGAATCTCTTCTAGGAGCGTAGGGCTGGCATACATCCGGAGAAGGTGCCAAAAGACAACATTCGGGGAGTTTCCGTTCATCGCCCAAAGCAAGGATAGATGTATTGGTGCGCTAGACCTTGCAGAAAGTCCTAGCTCTTTGCATTTGCGGATCCGCTCCTTCATAGGTTCCGAGATGTCGTCAAGATCTCGAAACGTGAGTCCAGGATCAACCCCATCATCCCAAGCAACGAAGGCCTGATGGTACTCTGTAAGAGAATCGAGGAGCCGTCGACGGGCAACATGCGCTGCAGAAACCCCAGGGTGGGCCAACCGAGGGATGCCCATAGACAGAAGCACAAACTGGTTGTCCAGCGTGAACACATCTTCCAGCAGGGCAGGGAAAGCCTCAAGAATGGCCTCGCCCATGAAAATTGCCGTAGTAACGTGTCCAACGAACCTTCTGATGAGGGCGAAAAAGTTCACCTCGCAGGCAAGCAGGTCTTCCCCGTCAACGACAATAGCCTGGCTGCCGCGCTCCCACAGCATCTGGTCCACGATGCTTCGGCAGTTGGTCACCAAATTAGGGATCTCCCGTTCAATCAAGCGGGTAGCGGTTCTGGTGCCTTCGGTCAAAAAAGGCTCCCGCATGAGAAGGTTGGGAATATTGTGGTTGAGCGTATGATGGTCTACAGGATTCAATTTACGAATCACACCTCGGTCGCCAAAGATCTTCTCAAGGGCATAATTGATCAAGTCCGTCGAGGAGGTACGCCGAGCAGCCAATACCGAGTTGACCAGGGATGGGGACACGACAATATCGTGTTTGGTGCCACCCATGTAGATTCCAAACACGGCCTCCTTCATCGACTTTCTGTAAAAATTTGTGAGAAATTTGCAGCAGCTATTTGGCTGATTTGGAGACAAACCTGGACTTTTGTATGAGATCGACATGGTCCCAGGCAAAAGCCGGGCCATGGCCTAGCCAGGGCAGCCAATATGGCACCGTCCTTACGGGACGCGGACGTCCCTCGGAGACCCCACGGGAACGACTCTGATATTCGGTGATGAGACGAGTCACCACGCAGATGGAGACCAGAATAGCCACTATGGCTGGCCATCCGATAGTCTTGAGAACATCGCCGACAAATCGTACAAGATTCCCTGGCGCTAACAAGTCATACTGTTCCATCGTAATGAACGAGGAAGAACCGGCCCGAAAACGGGGGCAGAATTAGGGAAAAGAAGGACGGGGATTGCGATCACAGGTGAGATGACATGGATATCCAGAAAAAGAGAGCGCGGATTTACACCAAAGGGAAATAAACAATTCCCATTCAGAAGGGGAAGATCGAAGAAATACAAATAAAAAGTAAAGAAAGATTTGTGCAACGCCTGAAGCAAAAAATAGAAACGAGAGTTTGATGCTGCTTTGAAGTGATGGCCAAACTGGATTATTCAGTAAATTATTATTCAGTAAATTACCATACGGGCTGTGACGCTTAGCTCAGCCACACCTGATCTGGCCTGCGGCTAAAGTCGTTCCCGGTTGGTTTCATCTTCAACTTGTTTACTACGTACTCTCTGTACTATGTATGGCTCATCATTCATTCGGTGCAACTAACTAGTCATTACTATCAATGATACAGGAATATATCTATTTTCCTCCTGGTCAATGCTCTCGGCGCAACACCTTCTGTAAGATGGCACTCTCGTGTTCATACTGGCTGATCTTGTTCTGCGAACTTGCCACCTTCTGCAGGAGCCACTGAATCCGTGCGCTGAGCTCTCGGGGCTGCTTGGGGAGAGAACCCAATACCTGTAGCTCCTGCTCATATTTCCCAATGCTCTTGTTTTCACTACTCAGCAGCTGCTTGACGATGTCCAGGTCCAGCCGGCTACTCAGCGTCTTGTTCTCCGTTAACCGCTTAAACACCGCCCGGTAGACAGGCTTGCCAGGCTTCACTGCGTCAGGGCATCCGTTGACGGAACTGATTGCGATAAGCTCGGCTTGCTCAAGGGCTCGGAGGGTGGCCTCGCCGTTCTCCTTGAACAGGTCGGAGAGGAGAACTTGATTGTACGGCAAAGTGCCATCCTGGGAGTGGGCTAGCGTCTTAATTAAATGCCAGGCCTGTTCGTGGCTCCACTGTTTGGATTCAATGTCAGGGTCAAAGACAAACATCTTCAAAATCTCGGATGCCGACTGCTCGATGATTCGATTAACTGCCGCTGTTTTATTTTTAGCCAGATGCGCCATTGATCAGCCGAAGTGGATCCAACCTACCTCTAGGCGTTTCTCCAGTCTCCATGCGCCGTGCCATGAATTCAAGGTCGGTCACTCGGCCTCCGAGCACTTCTATGCAGCTATCCAGGGTACCCAAATCTCCTACTTCTTCCATGTTCTGGCCTGAATTGGCTCCATCCTTCGCCCCATGCTCAAGATGGCTGAGGACAAATTTCCTGCCCACGTCGAGCGAGCAATCGCCTAGGGAAATGGTCCGGAACACTGAGTTTGGCAATGCCTTGCTCAGAGGTTTGGAGAAGGAAACGTCAGTAGTCAAGAATACTACATGAGCGATGTTTCCGGTTGTGAGGCCTGCTGCCCACTCGGTGATCTTGTCGTACACCACACTGCTCTCAGAGGCATTATGCAGAAAGTTGTCGATGACTACGACGGGACGCTTCTCAGGGTGAGCTTCAAGGTACTCTTCGTCTGAGAGGTGTGCCTCCTTGTCATCATTTTTCCTGTTGGACAGGGCAACCTTCTTTAGGGCAGTGGCAGTATTCTGCCAAATCTTGCTGAGCTGCGCATCCAATGTCTCAGAAAAGCCAGCCTTGGTGCCGATCATGCCCTGCGCAGCTAGGTCGATAAAGCTGCTCATGCTGTTCATCCATGAGAACACAGGCCGGTAACCGACCTGGCTAGCAGCACGGGCTATCTTTGCAGTATCGCCTTTGGCGTCTTGGATCTGTTTACAATCGATGACGACCTTGTACTTGTAGTTCTCAAGTGCTCTGTCCAACACAAGCTCTCGCTTTCCCGTGCCCCGAGGGCCGTGGATGACGATGAACGTCTCGGCATTCTCCATCAGCCAGGACTGCAACTGCTTAATGTCTCCCTGGCGATCCTCCCATATCGCAGTGAGACGACGAGGGTCTGTTCTCTGGCGCCCGAAGTAGATGATGTTGGCCTTGTTAACCTGGTTCCGGATCCATTGAAGGACACTGTTCTCCTCAGTTTGCAGAGTGGCCTTGATCTTCATTTCGATGAAAAATGTGCGGATAGGGTCGAAGATGGTCACAGTGATGGCCGCAATGAGTGCGGCAATGGCAGGGATCACGATCCTCGGATGGTTCAGGATCCAGTCTTTGATGACTGATAACTTGATCTTTCGCTCGTACTTGATCTTAACCCTCGTTCCGGACTTGCCGCCGCCTTCTTGCTCCGGGATGGTGAACCCGTGCATGCAGTTCTTGGCCATGACTGCGTACTTTTGCCGCGTGAACGACACAAAGGCATACCTCGGAGCGATCTTCGAATCGGTCGGCTGTCTCTCAATGTCCCTTAATTTTCCATATCTCCTGAAGAAAGAATACAATGTTTCCGTGGTCAGTTCTGTTGCGGCTCCATCAACGGAGCCTGGCAGGAATTCCACGCGCAGCCGCTGGCTTGGGATGCGATATAGATCCTCGATCCATGGTCTGCCATGCACGTGGGCAACCTTGACCTGCTGAAGCGGGTTGAACCAGGGCCGGATAGGATTGTGCTCCAGATGGTCTTGCACAGCGGTTACAATGTCAGTGTCTCGGACACCATCCTTGCGAACATATTTCACGAAAGCACCGCCTTCTCTGAAGCGCGGAATGACTTCCCGGATGTCGACATTCAGGCTCTGGGGGAAGACACGGCGGATTATATGCAATGGATCCGACGCCGCCAGATGGGGTCTGTTGATTCGTTTCAACGCCTCTTCGTAGGTTTTAGTCCCGCTCAGCGGGCCTTGTAGCAACCATTGTAGCTTCGACGGAAAGATATCTGCTCCCAAGATGGATTGTTAGCAAGGCATACAATACAGTATCTGAGACGCGAAACCCATACTATTCACAAATACGAGACCCTCGTCGTCTTTCACGTCAATGTGCCCAGTCTCGATAAAAGAGGCATGTGACGAAGTACGCCGACTGACGATGAACGCCCCTGTCAAGAAAGGAATCGCAGAAGGTCTACTGAAGCGTGCACGGGGTAGAGTTGCGCGTGGCACCACCGTTCGATATGGAATTCGCATCATCTCTGCAGACCTCACAGCATTGTGCAGGAAGCTAGAGGGGTTCCTGAAGAACAAGAGATGCTGTTCCTGGAGTCTCCAACTATGACGTCGACTGGATGATCTGGACCAATACATGATGTGACGGGTATTATATCTTTGGTGGTGCGGGGCAGCTCCGCATTACCGTCACGGCGCGTTCGGGTGAAATTTAGGATTCGATCCGCTTTGATTCCATTCAACTTAATTCCGCCGTCTCTTCTTGGTCCCCATCCAAACATCCCCCGGAGACTCCCATTCTATCCTCCATTGAAACCAGTCACTGCCATGGGTTGGTGGTGGAGCTCCGCCCCTAAAGAGGGCCAGTCTTCCACGCCTGCTGCCTCCAGTTCTCCTGCCTCACAACCCCCTCCAGAGACCACCTCCGCACCTTCACAACCACCGCAACCCCGGACTCTCACCCGCGAGGAGCAGGCCGACGCAGAATGGAAGACGCTGATCGCCAGCCTGGAGAGCGATATCAGTGGTCAAAAGCAGCAGCAGCAGACACCATCTGCTGGTAATACCACATCACCCGATTCCGCATCATCCCCATCCAACTCCGCCGATCCTCAAGCACCTCCCTCGTCCATTGCCCCCGAATCCCTATACGATGATACCATGTCCTGTCGCTCTGCATTCGACTATGCCTTTTTCTGCCAGTCATTCGGAGGTCAGTTTGTCAACGTCTACCGATATGGTGAACTGCGGTCCTGCAGCGAACACTGGGACAACTTCTGGATGTGCATGAAGACCCGCACGTTACCGGATCAGCAGCGCCGGAAGGCAATCCGCGATCACAACCGGAAGAAAGCCATCAAGTACAAGACAGGGCCCAGCAGCGAAGACGTGTGGGACGTGCGGACAGAGCCGGTCCAGAATGCGTTCTCCGGGGATTTCGCGGCCCTGGAACGGGAAATGCAGGCAGAGGAAGAAGAAGCAGCGCGGCAGAAAGCTGCTACGGCCTAAAAAAGAAGCCAACCAATCATGACCCCATCCAATTTTTTCGTCCTTGTGTCAGATCTCTTCACACATACCTAGGGATCTCCCATTTTTTCACATTTGATACCATGTAGATGGATACCTATCTCCCGAACTCGTGGGGCACGTTGTACAATAGCATTAGCAGAAATCAATCACCCATCATCATCTGAGCATCCCAATTGTCTCAGCCACCATCCCAAGGACAAAGGAAATCTCCGTCTCTAACGCACACAATAAAGCGACTTGCTTCCGACGGACAATCCCGATGTGTCTTTATTCCTCTTGACCTATCCTCCTCTGTGCAGCTCCTATATATAGACCTCACATAACAACAGCACCCTTGTCATCATCAGCAACCACCAACAGCCAACCATTGGGCCACTCAAGCACCATGGCTACGATATGAACTCCTTCAGGAACAATAAACATCTGATATGATGCGTCCTTTTGAGTCTTTCAAGAAACCTCTTCGCATCAAGCAGAGACTGAAATTACCATTTACCGCCACATATCGCATGCGCACGCTCTTCCATCGCATTTCTGCCATGCTGATTACCACCAATAATTATACAGAAGACTCGAATTCTGGATCTGCTACTACTATCAAGGCCAGCAGCCTCAGGAACTACCCTAACATGGACGTGAATATGACCACGAATATAGAGAAGACGCTGGATACTATCGAAGGACCTGCCTCCCCAGCTCAACGTCGTCAACTTCCTCACAGACCACCAACACCAACACCACCACCAGCATCAATATCAACATCAACATCAATCCCACCACCAGCCCCAACAACCACCCACCCCCCATTCCCGTTCCCATCTCCATCCTCTTTCACCCACCCTCACCACCAACAACAACAACCACCACCACCACCACCCTACCACTTCCATCCCCCCAAATCCGTAACCTGGGGTCCCATCACCGAAATCCCCATCTACTCCCCCTCCCCAACCCCATCACCCCAATCCTCGCCCTCCACCTCCTGGATCGACCTCAGCAGCACAACAACATCAGCAACCTCCTCCACCGCAGCCCTAACCTCCTCATCCACCTTCTCCCCCACCATCCCCCAACCCCGCCCACCACGAAGCCACCCCATCATCCACCGTCCCCTGAAACCCATCCGCAAACCTCCAACCCAACTCGACAACGAAATGTTCTACCGCAACCTGTACCACATGTCCCAGATCAGCACGCTCCGATTAAACATCGTCTACGACGCGCTGAGTTTTCTGGGCGGGACTTCCTGGACCAGGTCCTTCTCATGGAGGAGGGGTATTTGATGCAGGTGGCGGCGATGCATGCGAGACAGGCGCAGCAGAGGGATTTTGCGCGGTTTTCTGTTGCTGCTGGTGGCGGTGGTGGTGCTGGTCCTTTCGGTGATAATGGTGGGTTTGGGGCGGTGATTCCTCGTCGCCCAAGTCCGGTTAAGGGGGGTCGAGTGGAGAAGAGGAAGATGAGGAAGATGATGAGAAAGAGGAAGGCTTCGGATGTTATGGGGGCGGACTTTTGGGAGCAGGTGAATGAGAGGGAGGAGGGGTATGAGATTGATGAGGATGAGGATATGGATACTAGGGACTGGGTGTAGAGCTGCCCGTCCTATTCTATTCTACTATACTTGTCTTAGACTGGCTTGGCTGGGGTTAAGAGGCTGTGTATATACCACGCAACTGGCATGCGTCAAGTATATGGGAGTCCGGTCATATGCACTTACTCAGTGGAGCCATACATACTACTTTGATAGATGGTATTTCTGAATCTCTACTAGTGCGTTCTTATGAATTGGAAAGGGGGATAAATGGACTGAACCATGGGATTGATATGGTCATGAAGAGAATATGTACATCAAAATGTGTTGGACGGAAATCACAAACGCTCCGACACCTCGCACCTCTTTTGAGAAGGAACAGAACGCTGCAAATCATCCTTCATAATAGCAAAACCAAATAAAAAATAATTTCATCGGACTGTATCCCACCCTAAACTTCCATGAAGACGGACGCAACGTATCGTAGTAAAGATCAAAGTAATTGCCGTGATAGATATAAGCCACCCAACATGGCCTGGCCGAGTCAAAACACTTTTTCTCTTCTCGACATCGAAAATCGTAGATTCGTTGCTATCATGACTGAGATTTCATGCAGTCAAAGCTAGAACCAGTCTAGCGGGTTTAGCGGCAAGGCGCAACCTCTGATGTGGACTTAAGCAGATACTGTCTGCTGAGCAGCCTGAGGAACGGCATCGATAGCGGGCCGGCGCACAATACCACCAGTGACAGGGAGTTGGGAGCTGATGCCCATCAAGAAGGTGTCTACTTCACGGGCGCATTGACGACCTTCGTTGATACCCCACACGATGAGAGACTGGCCACGACGGCAGTCACCAGCAGCGTAAACACCCGGAACGCTGGTGGAGTAATGTCCTGGTGGGGTCTTGACGTTCTTGCGGGCATCACGCTCAATTTCCTCGCCCAGGACCCGGTCCTCGGGCCCAAGGAAGCCCATGGAGAGAAGAACAAGGTCCGCGGGGAAGAATTGCTCACTGCCTTCAACGGTCTTCATGTCCCAGCCACCAGAAGCGCTCTTGGTCCACTCAACACGAACCGTATTGATACCCTTGACACGGCCACTACCGTCGTCAACGAACTCCTTAGACATGACGCAGTATTCACGAGGGTCCTTGCCCATGTGCGTCTTGACCTCGGAGTGACCGTAGTCGACACGGTAGATACGGGGCCACTGAGGCCACGGGTTGTCGCGGGCACGCTCCGGCGGAGGCTGAGGCAGCAACTCGAAGTTGGTGACAGACTTGGCACCGTGACGCACAGATGTACCGATGCAGTCGTTTCCAGTATCACCACCACCAATAACCACGACGTGCTTGTCCTTGGCGGAGATGTACGCCCCGTCGGCAAGGTTGGAGTCCAGCAAAGACTTGGTGTTACGGTGCAGGAATTGCATGGCGAAGTGAACGCCGTCAAGCTCACGTCCAGGGACCTTCAGGTCACGGGCCACCGTGGCACCAGTAGCAATGATAACAGCGTCGTTAGTCTGGCGCAGAGAGTCTAGCGTGATCTCATGCTCTGGGCCGACGGGGGTACCGGCAGCAAACTTGACACCCTCAGCAGCCATCAGGTCAACGCGACGCTGCACGACCTTCTTGTCCAGCTTCATGTTGGGAATTCCATACATCAGAAGACCACCGATACGGTCAGCACGCTCGTAAACAGTGACGGTGTGGCCAGCCCGATTAAGTTGATCGGCAGCAGCGAGACCTGCAGGGCCAGAGCCGATGATCGCAACATTCCTGCCTGTGCGAGTCTTGGGAGGGCGAGGAACCATCCAGCCCATCTCGAAACCACGGTCAATGATGGCACATTCGATAGACTTGATACCCACGGGGTCTTCGTTGATGCCAAGGACACAAGCACCTTCGCAAGGAGCAGGGCAAACGCGACCAGTGAATTCGGGGAAGTTGTTCGTCATGAGTAGCCGGTTGAGAGCATCCTGCCACTGGTTCTGGAACACCAACTCATTCCACTTGGGAATGATGTTGGAGATCGGGCAACCAGTGTCAGACTGGCAGAAAGGCACACCACAGTCCATGCAGCGCGCGGACTGGTACTTGAGCTCATCCTCGCTCAGGCGATTAGAAAGCTCAGCCCAGTCACGCGTACGAGTTGCCGGGTTGCGGTACTTCTCGCTGCGCCGGTTGTATTTCATAAAGCCCCTGGTCTTGTCCAAAATGAGCGCAGACCGCTTTTTCTCAGTCTTAGAGTCGCTGATGCTATCTTCGATATCTAGCATCTCAACCTTCTTGGCATCGTCGGTCTGAGCTTTGGGCTTCTCCGCAGGAACTGGAGTGCTAGGAAGCTGAGGCAAAGAGAACTCTGCCTTCTTGGCGGCTTCAGCCTTGGCAGCTTCCTCCTGTAGGATCCGCTTGTAATCCGTAGGCAGCACCTTAACGAAGTGAGGAAGGGCACGAGTAAAGTCCAGCAAGATACGGGCGGCGAGCTCCGATCCGGTGTAGTGATGGTGATCCTCGATCAAGCCACGAACGAAGGCGATCTCGGCGGGATCTTCCAAGCCGGACACCTCAACCATCTCCATGTTGACCTTGGAGTGGAAGTCCTGCTTCATATCCAGGATGTAGGCGATACCGCCAGACATACCAGCAGCAAAGTTACGACCAGTCGAGCCAAGAACAAGGACGCGACCACCAGTCATGTACTCACAACCGTGGTCACCAACGCCCTCAACGACTGCGGTAGCACCGGAGTTACGGACAGCGAAACGCTCAGCAGCCATACCGCGGAAGAAGCAAGTACCGCGAGTGGCGCCGTAAAGGCAAGTGTTACCAACAATGACGTTTTCTTCAGCCTTGAATGCAGCACCACGAGGGGGGTAGATGATAAGGCGACCTCCCGAGAGACCCTTACCAACGTAGTCATTGGCATCGCCTTCCAGCTCGAGAGTGATACCAGGAGCAAGATAAGCACCGAATGACTGACCAGCGGAGCCCTTGATGTTGGCGTGGATGGTATCCTGGGGAAGGCCTTCGCCACCATAACGGCGACTGACCTGATAAGACAAGGTAGCACCCAAGCCACGATCAGTGTTGACAATGTCGCACTCAATTCTGCAAGGGAGGCCCTTCTCCAAGGCAAGCTCAGACTCGGCGATCAGCTTGTTATCGAGGCGAGTGTGCAGACGGTGGTCCTGCTTGCGGACGTTGTAGGTAGCGACGCCGGGGCGCAGGGAGTGGGCAGGAGTAAGAATGAGCGACAAGTCAATCTTCTCCTGCTTGGCATTTCGGATATCGTCACGGACCCTGAGAAGCTCGGCACGTCCAACCATCTCATTCACGGTGCGAACGCCCAACTTGGCCATGATAGCACGCATCTCGTTGGCAACATAGTAGAAGAAGTTGATCACGTGTTCGGGCGTACCCTGGAACTTGGCCCGAAGCGCCGGGTCCTGAGTTGCGATACCGACAGGGCAGGTGTTGAGATGACACTTAAGCATGAGTTAGCACGAGTCTAAGGGGTTATTCCATATTCGTCTTACCTTGCGCATCATAATGCAGCCCATGGCGATCAGAGGGGTCGTAGCGAACCCGAACTCTTCGGCTCCGAGCAAGCAAGCGACCGCAAGATCGCGACCAGTACGAAGCTGACCATCAGTTTGCACAACAACACGTCCACGCAGGTCATTGAGAACCAAGGTCTGGTGAGTTTCGGCCAGACCCAACTCCCAAGGAAGACCGGCATACTTGATACCGGTCCAACGAGAGGCACCAGTACCACCATCGTGACCGGAGATCAGGATGTGATCAGCCTTGGCCTTTGCGACACCGGACGCAACGATACCAACACCAACTTCCGACACAAGCTTGACAGAGACACGTGCGCGAGGGTTGGAGCACTTGAGGTCGTAGATGAGTTGCTTCAGGTCCTCGATAGAGTAAATATCGTGGTGGGGTGGCGGCGAAATAAGACCGACACCGGGAGTGGAGTAACGGGTGTGCGCAATGGGGCCGACAACCTTGTGGCCAGGGAGCTCACCACCTTCTCCAGGCTTAGCACCCTGTGCCATCTTGATCTGCAGTTCATCGGCATCGGCAAGGTAGTGAGATGTCACACCAAATCGACCAGAGGCAATCTGCTTGATGGCGGACCGCATCGTATCGCCATTCTCCAACAGCTTGCTTCGCTCGGGATCTTCACCACCTTCACCAGTGTTCGACTTTCCGCCTAGGCGATTCATTGCAATGGCAAGGGTGGAGTGAGACTCCATGGAGATAGAACCATACGACATGGCGCCTGTAACGAATCGACGAACAATCTCAGTCCAGGGCTCGACCTGATCAATAGGGATCGGTGTGCGTTGCTCGAAATCGAAATCAAGCATACCACGGAGGGTACAGTTCTTGATCTGCTCGTGCTCAGCCTTGGCGTATGCCTCATAGGACTTGTCGTTCTTCGTGCGCACAGCGTCCTGCATGTTTGCGATACTAACAGGGTCGTTGATGTGCTCCTCGCCACCGTCACGCCAGTGGTATTCACCCGACTCTGGGAGACCGGGGATATCGACAATCTCGCGAGAGGGGTATCCACGCTCGTGGAAAGCAAACGCGTCTTGGGCAATCAATTCAAAGGTCAGACCGCGGATGCGGCTCGCAGTTCCAGCAAAGCAACGGTCAATAACACTGTCATCGATACCGAGGGCTTCGAAGATTTGAGCACCCTTGTATGACTGCAGGGTAGAGATACCCATCTTACTCATAACCTTGAGGATACCACCATCGCAAGAAGCCTTGTAGTTCTCGATTACCTTCTCATCGGGGAGCTGCTTGCGGATCAGCTTCTCCCGGTTCATCTTCAAGATACATTCCATAGCAAGGTAGGGGTTGATGGCGTCAGCTCCGTAGCCAACGAGGACACACATGTGGTGCACTTCACGAGCCTCGGCAGTTTCCACAACGATGGCAGCAAGAGATCTCCACTTGTTGCGGACCAGATGGTGATGAACAAGACCAGTTGCTAGAAGAGCAGATACCGGAACTCTGTCCGCACCAGTGGCACGGTCTGAGAGGACGAGGATCTTGTCACCGTTCTGAATAGCCTCGGTGGTGGCATCGCAGATGGCATCGAGGGCCTCCAGGTATCCCGGAACGCCCTTCTCCTTTTCGAAAGTGATATCAATGGTCCTCACAGTCCAGTCCTTGTGGGCTTGGGAAATGTTCTTCAGGGCGTTGAACTCGGGGATACTGAGGATGGGGGAAGGAAGCAACAAACGGTGGCACTGCGACTGTTCCATCTCCAGAAGATTTCCTTGAGGACCAACGTAGCACTCCAAGGACATAACAACAGCCTCTCGGATAGGATCAATAGGTGGGTTGGTGACTTGAGCGAAGAGTTGGCGGAAGTATTCGTAGATAAGACGAGGCTGCTTAGCGATACAAGCCAAGGGGGCGTCGTTACCCATGGATCCCAGAGCTTCCTTGGAGTCTGCGGCCATGGGACCAAGGAGTAGACTGACTTGCTCGAATGAGTAGCCAAAGGCCTTCAAACGAGGGTCGTTCTGAATGGTCGTTTCGTCCAAGGCATGTGTCAAGTCCACACGTTGTTCGTCCAGGCTCTCTTTGATGGCAGGCAATTTGAGGAGCTCCTTATCCAGCCAGGAAGCAAAGTCATGTCTGTGAGATACAGTGTATTTGAGCTCAGAGTCATCGATGATGCGTCCAGCCACGGTGTCGACCAGGAGCATCTTTCCAGGCTGCAGACGACCTTTCTGGACCACGCGCTCGGGGTCAATGTCTACAGCACCAACCTCCGAGGCACAAACGATGCGGTCATCATCTGTCACGTAGAATCTGCAAGGACGCAAACCGTTACGGTCGAGGTTTGCACCGCAGTAGCGACCGTCAGAGAAGGTAAAGAGAGCCGGGCCGTCCCACGGCTCCATCTGGCAAGCCGCCCATTCGTAGAAAGCAGCCTTGGCCGGATCCATAGCCGGGTTATCTTGCCAGGCTTCCGGGATCATAAGCATGACCGCCTCAGGCAATGAAAGCACACCGTTGATCATCAACAATTCAAGAACGTTATCGAACGCTGCCGAGTCGGAACCACCGTCCTCAACAATGGGGTACAGGGAATCCAGCTCCTCACCAAAAATGTCCGACTTCAGCACACCTTCTCTGGCGCGCATCCAGTTCTTGTTGCCACGAAGGGTGTTGATTTCACCGTTGTGGGCAGCCCAGCGCAAGGGCTGTGCACGATCCCAAGAAGGGAATGTGTTGGTAGAGAAACGGGAGTGGACGAGAGCAAAGTGGCCTTCGTAGTCAACGTTTACCAGATCATGGTAGTACTGGTATACCTGAACGGGGGCCAGTTGACCCTTGTAGACAATGTTTCTGTTGCTCAGGGAGCATAGATAGAACCAGTTGGCGAGACCGATAACGTGAGTAGCCCGCTTTCGCAGGACATACAATTGACGTTCGAATGTCTTCATGTCAAATAGCTCTGGGTCGGTAAGCTCTGGCTTGTTTCCTTCGCCATAAGCCGACTTCAGAACAACGAACGGCTGCATGATGGTAGGCTCCCGGGAGAGAGCGGCGGGGCCCAGAATGGTAGAGTCGCGGGGGACCTCACGCCAGCCCAACACCCGTAGTCCCAAGGATGTGGCAGTTTCCTCGAAGCTCTGTACAGACTCCTTTACGGACTCCTCCTCAGGCTTGAAGAACAGGTTGCCGACAGCATACTGACCGAGGGGAGGGAGATCAACTCCGACCTCACGGGCAAAGTTCTTGATAAAGAATTTATGGGGAATACTGGTCATCACACCAGCACCATCACCATCGCGTGCATCCGAGCCAACGGCACCGCGATGGGTCATGTTGCAAAGCAAATTGCGAGCTGCAGAAGTCAGTTAGTATACTCCCAACCCTACCAGGCATATAGGATTGTAGATACTTACCATCACTGACAATCTTGTGGCTAGGCTTGCCCTTGATGTGACTAAATTGCGAGAGAGTTGCTGTTAGCCCGTCGATCCATGAAGCCCAGGGCGCAATCCTAAAAGATCACTCCTTGAGGGGGGCATGGTTCCCTGCTGAGCACTTACGCTGCAAAGCCTACACCACAAGCATCCTTCTCGTATTCGGGGTCATAAAGACCTTGCCTCTCGGGCAAGGTGTTTGCCCAGCCATATCCCTTCTTCGGCTGGTACTCCGAATACTCATTCGGAGTCTCCTCGTCCACTATAGGTTTGCCATAGAGTTCCTCCAAGTTCAGACCCATTCTTCCGCCGGTGGCCGACAGAAAATGGAGTAGCGAATCTAGGGGAATTGGTGTGGTTGTTGATGGGGGGACAATGGGATCGCCGCGGAACAAGTCGGGGCGGGGGAGGGGGGGGGGGGGGGTCAATTCGTTCTGTTATAGATAAGAACGATGTCGTCACAAAGACGGGGGTAAGTGGTGTACAATGACGCGGGCAAGGAAGGGGCAAAATTCAGAAACTTTTAATGGTGATGGCCCAGCGTCTGACTCCTTGTGGGATGGATAATGGGAGAAAGAAGAGAGAGAAGGAGAGAAGCGACCAGGGGAGGGGGAGGGAGGGAAGGGAATAATAAAATGGGCAAGACAGACAGAGAGAGCGGGAGCTCCTACTACGGGGGGGTGCGGTCCGGGGATTCACCTCGAGATTCCTCCGATACTCCGTACCAAACCAGTATGTAAAATTGGGGTTACCCCCCCCCTTCCCTTCTCGGTCTTCTGGGCGGATGAACGCACCTCCAGTAGTAGGCTCAGGTCGGGTGAATCCACCGCCAAATCCAATCTACTCTAAAAACGCCCAAATGGTACGGAAACCGAAAATTACCGAAGGTGGGGATGATCAAGAGATTCCCGTGGCAAATCGTAGCTTACCTAGCTTCAGGAGCGAAGACGGAGTGCTAAAAAGGAAAGACAGTTGTAGTTAGTAGGTTAAAGCCAGGCAGGTGTAAGCAGTCAGACGGTGGTTGTTGACGGGCGCAGGGAAAAAGGAACTAATGCGGGCTGGCAGATGGCAATGAATTCTAGCGCCTACTACGGAGTAGACTACGGAGAGTACTGTAAGGGGGGTGGGTGGAAGGAAAGGCGCATTGAATGACAATCAATCCCATCAATCATTCATCATTCTGTTGCCCTCTCTCTGCTGCATCACTGCCGGCAGTCACCAGAATATCCCGTGTATGATGTAGTTCCATATGCATACACGATGGTGATCTACAAGAGGTAAGTTTGTTATTGCTTCTGTCATCATGGTGCAGAAGCCAAAAAAAAAAAAAAAAAAAAAAAAAAAAAAAAAAAAATTAATAAATAAATAAAATTAAATAAAATTAAATAAGAAGGTGGGTGGTGTAAGAGTGAGTGGCTTACGTCGACTTTTTGTGGATTAAAAATGTTGTCTGGCTTGTTAGTTAGTCTGGCAGCAGGGTTTCTGACTTGTCTCAGAGAAGAAAGCTTTCCCATCCGCTCATTGTATTGAAAGGGAGAGAGGTGGAATGGAGAGAGAGAGAGATTAGCCATTTTTCCCATTCACCAAGGGAGACTGAACTGACTGTTACAGTACTTCACCTCCAGCCGGGGATTTGTTCTAGAGAAGGAGATAAGACTAGCGTCCACCAATCAGCATGACGGTTTTACAACCTTCCGCAGAAAGATTAGGTTTTGGCTACGTCAAGATCCAGGCCGGTGGGGCCCGGGCCAAAAAGAAGAAAAAGGGAAACAGAAAAAGGTTGTCCGCTGACGGCGCTAGTGGGAGTCTACTGGGTACTTTGTTTCGTATCGTCCGGTAATGCTGTTTCCCTTCGTTCGTTCAATACGGGCATCGACGAGTTTGTGGTATTCAATCAGATTACGGGACGCAACATAGTAGTAGTCAAAGTAGTAGTAGTATTTGGTCTCCATTGTATTAATGCACTGCCTCCAAGTGGGCATGAAACGTTTTTTTCCCCCATCATGCAGAGCTCCATTCTGGCATTCATGTCTGAACCATAACTCTTAATTACAAATTGACCCATCAGGTGAGAGACCTGGCCGGTCTCCTATCAAGTGGGCTGGCTGGCATACCCAGTCAGGTCAGAAGAGGACCCAGAGAGCTGTTGGAGAGGTTGGATCAACTGGAAAATGGAAGAAGTAGATGCCCTGGGTGGCCTGTTCCACTTCATGCTCATGGGATCATAAGTCACCTTTCTCTGGTCCAATGTACGAAACCTATCAATGCGTAACAAACCACTGTAGGTACCTGGTGGTCTTATTCCCTGAACAATAATTCGTATATGCTCGCATGATTAATCCTGGTCGTGACGGCAATGCTCGAATCTCAATCCAATTCAACTGTATCTACCAGGGGTTCGCAAAGATTCGGTTCATATCATGAGCTACAGTGTGCCTTGGGTGGTGCAAGCACTGTTAGTCAAAGAAATATTTGCAACATACTAGTAGGAGTGTATACGTATAGCAGGTAGTAGAAAGTACCGAGCAGGAGCCCCATAGACAGACACGCCAAGCGTTCCGTACCTACTAAAATTTTGGAGCACCGCATATACCAAAGAGCCCATCTCAACGCCCGTGTGCAAGCCATGGCTTGGATGGTCAATGGATGGTGAGACCGTCTGGGCTACACGACTCGCAGTTTCTCATCTTCCTCCAACTGTTCGACCACAGCAGGAGGGAAAGGGCCCAGCTGGATGAAGTGATTGGGCGTTGTATAAGTGGGGCAACGCAGGGATACAGTGCTTATCCCCGATTCTGTCCCAATCAGTTGGTCGGCTTGTGCTGAAAGTGCGCTGCTGCACATGGTAAGTCATCCCCAAGTGGCCTGGGAAACCCGGAAAAGAAGACAAATCCGGCGGCACTGCAAAAATTAGAGGTTACTAAAGAAGCAATTCTATTTCTACTCCAAAATTGCTTGGCAGGCACTGGGCGTTACATTAGAACAGTAAGGAGATGAAGTCTCCAAGTCGATTATTTCTATGTATAAGAGAAAATCCCAGATCGTCCTGAAAGATGAACTTTTGTAGTCATAGTAATTGGGATGTAGTCATAGGAATTGAGGAAGTGGGTGGCCCCTACGGTGTGTGTCAGTATACCGTGATTAAGTACACGGCCCGCAAGTGGCCTCTTCCTACATCGTATACCACAGGAATTACGGAGTGGTAAGGTGCACCCATACTAGGCTGGTGACTCGCTTCTCCGACTAGGCTAGGCAATAGATTGCATGGTGCATAAATCTGCCGCCTAAACATCTTTGTGAAGTTGATCAATCGGAAATAGTCAGAAAGAAAGAATTAAAAGAAAAGAAAAAAAAAAAAAAAAAAAAAAAAAAAGGGACAGGGCAGAACAACCGGCACACGCGGCCTGCAACTTGCAAGAGGACTGCAACCGAAGGACTTTTGACCCAGGCGCTAAGTGGTGCATTGGGCAATTGGTGATCTCGCCCGTGGGCTGCTCTCTAGACCGAGGGAGGGCCCTAATAAAAACAGACGCTTCCTTTGCCCATCCTAAGCCAGAAGAGAGAGCCTTTGAACTAAAACTCGCATACCCCACGCTGAGGTGCAGGTGGTCGGACGATCAGTGGTAAGTTGGTAAGTTTGCCCGTTACAAGCGTATACGCTGTTGTAACCGGTATATGTATTTTTGGCCAGGTGGAATGGTGGGTAATTTACTGGCACGGAGCGGTACCACTCACCTCAGCAATAGAAGCATGGCTGAGTGCTGTTGTCCGCCCACCTTTTTTGATTTCCGTCAGCCCAACCTTTCCGACAACGGCCAAGCTAGGCACCTTTCCCTATCCGTCCCGGAATCCCTCCTCCCTTCCAGTCCCTCCCTCCCTCCCCAAACAATTAACCCAACCCCTCTCCGAGCCACGTTCCCTCTAGCACAGTCTTTTAGGCTGCCTTCTCTCCGTTACATTCACCCGTAGCTTACTGCCTAGTAGCTTTCCCGTACCCCTGCCCCGCCGATTTCGGGGCCCGCCCTGCCCCGAGACGCACCTTGCGTTTCCAAGAATGCCAGTGGGTTCGACCCGGTCGAATTTCTCAAGCTCATTTCTTGAGGTCATCCAAACCTCTTATCAGTCACCCTCTTCAAATAGCCACATTCTTACTCGACGCCCATCTGTCCATCTGGCATCTAGACGTCCCATCCGTAGATCTTTGAAACCTTCCATTGACCCAAACCTAGGTCAATTTTCTGGGGAAAACCCACCCTCCCCGTGAAATGAATCTCATGGGCTTGTCCGGGTCTCCGGGCAGGACTGAACGGACGGAGTAGGAGTAGGACCGTAGTGGCCATTGATTGGCCCCGACCAATGAGCATGCAGGAAGAACACACACCAACACCCCGGAAATACGAGCGGTACCAAGCTGGTATGGCTCTGATTACACTGGTCAAGTTCAGGTCGGGATCTGCCCATACTAACGTATCCTTTCACCAGCTATCGAACTAGTAACCTTTTCCTATCCCCCCCCTCCTTCTTCCCCTTCGGAATAATCACGGGGTGTTTTATGCTGGCTAACTCGGAACCCTGGCCCGATAAGAGCTTATTTATTCGAAAATTAATAGCATGAGTATGATTATGGTAATACATAAATCAATTGTTTTCCAATCTCCCACACTTACCCTCAACCCCCCCCCCCCCTCCCCCTCCCTCGTTCAAGTTGCCTGGACGGTGTTGTGTTCACCTTCTACTGGCTGACAGATCAATGGATCCCACCATGCAGACTGGCAGCCAATTTCATTTCCCCCCTTTCTAGATCCTTAATAATCATTGTTGCCGTGCTCCGGGAAACTTGGAGCTAAGAGGTGTCCGACAGTTCGCATGGGTACGAGAATGGCCCGATTGGAGGGCTGGCTTCACGGCTTCAGGCGTGAGCTCCCCGGGACGGATTGTCTTGAGACGAATGACTGAGACGGTTCCTTCCTTTTACCTCTGAACGACTAGAATTATCGGCCGATCTGCGAAGGCCGAAGAAATTCGCCCATCCTCTCTCTGGTTCACTTGTCCCTCCAACGGCCAAGCAATAGCACCTACTACTAGTGGGCGTGTCCTGACGCCTCGCTAATTACTGGTCCTCTTAGACTTAATTGCTCGGGAGGCACGAGAGGGATGGAATGACTCGGAGCTGTGGAATGATCACTAATTGCAAGACTGCGTCTGGTGCATTGCTGGGGATCGAACTATCGAGAGATGGAGTATTACGCAACAAAGCTGCCGTGTTACCTCTGTCCAGAGGTGCAACTGCTGTGCCGATTCTCCCCCTTCGCGTATCCATCGCATCTCAGACCTCGTTTCGGGCCAGCCTTTTGGCAATCCGCAGACTGAAAGGATCCGCTTTGGAGCGACGGGCATCACATGACCGAGCGGAGATGCCAATGTTTCCGGTGTCCGTTTTCTCCCGATCCTTCCTGTTCAGGCTTGTCCGCTTTGGGCTCACCGAATGTGACCTTGACAACGGAGCGGGAGCCTGCAACCTCTCGGGAGTTCTCGGGCCTGGCAAACGGAAGCGACCGAAAACCGGGCAGGAGGAGGGGGGTCAGCAGCAGGTCGGTTTTCGTGATTACAGGAACAAACAACACCAGTAGCATCCGGTTAGGTACCAAACGGTTTGGTTTGGTTTGGTAGGTCTTTATGCAGACCGAATTAATTTCAGCGAGACTCTGATTCATCTCTCCGCTGCAGAGGCGCCATAGACCCAGTAAAATGTCTCCATCTGACTGGATGGCATCTGGATCTACCATGTGTAATTTTCCAGGCTATCCTGGCTATTTCTGAGTTGCTACTGCCACAGCCTTCTTTTATTGAAGACAACGCTACCCTCCTGCAGAAGGACACTGACGAGGATGTCAGATCAACATCTACAGCTGTGCGAATTGGTGGAGCAGAGTGGTCCGTCCATGGCCTGATTTTCTCACGGCTCGCTGTTACTGCTTTGCACAGTTCGTACAGCTGGCTAGGCTCATGCTTCAGGTGATCTTTGTGCAGTTATACTCGGCAGCTATGCAGGACCACGGAGAACCCCGGATGCCTCACTGTGGGCTGATGCGGGCCTTGGTGCGGAGCGTGGGTGAGAGATACATACATACAACCGCTGCTGTGCATGCGTCCTTGTTTCTGGTCTGGCTGGTGCGACGCATTGAAGCAGACAGAGGCACTGCATGAGGGTTTCCCTTGCTTACGGCGTGTCCAGAGTCAAGCCTCTGTCTACGTCCTGCAATGCGGCCAGCCAGCAGCAATGTCAATATGCACGGTGCACCAATCATCGATGGAGAATATGGTCTTTACCTGCACATTTGGGGGACGGATATTTGTCCGTTGTAAGATAGTCAAGTAGACTTGAGACATGAGTCACTGGTTAGTCGATGAGCCAGTCTTCTAGTGTGAATAATACAATGTTACTACTTAGCCGGATGGTCTGTCTCACAACACGAGGCCGACGGTAGGATGGAAGTGCAGGAAAGTTTGTCTCTATGAGGGTAAGGTCAATAATAGTTCGCAAGAATCCTTCATCTAGTACTGTAGTAGACTGGAGTCCCCGCTTAACACACGATACTAATCCCAAAGTACCATGCAGCTCATTTCCTGTTGTCGAATCATGGGCGATTTAGATAATACTACTTCGTACCGTCCGAGGTATGAAGTGTGACACAATCGGGAATTGAGTCTCGGAATATATATTGAATTAGTACAGAGTACAAGATGGGATATGAAGCAACACAATGCAAGTCCCATCGACTCCAAAACAATCTCCAACAAACTATATACACTCTTCTTGTCAGGGTTACACAGATCTCAAATCTTGCTGCGTGACCAGTTCGCCAGTAAAAGAGTTATCGCAAAAGGAAGCGGCGAGACGCATCCTGCCAGATGCGGTAAGTCGGGAGATCCCCGCGCGGGAGCTTGTCTGCTTTTGTTTTGGTTTCCCCTCTCGACCTCTCCGATTTCTCCAATTCCGCTTCTTCCTCTCCAAAATTATTCAAGATACCCTCTTCAGCTATCTACCAGTGGTCTCTACTACTGATCTAGTGTCACAAATTCGATTATATTCCGATAAAGTAGCCTAGCTGGTCTTGCGCATGACGACGGAACAACTCTGGCTCAGAACCACACGATAAAAACTAACCGACCTATATAGAGTGCGAATCACTCGAACTTCTTTTCATCTATACATTGCAATTCAACTGAGTCTGAACGAGTACTTCCATATTCCTTGTGTTAGATCAGGCTAGCACTGCCAACAACAATGCTCTCCCTTCCACTCATTACACCTCGCGATGTACGTGCTATCAGCTTCTGCGAGCTCCTCACACAGACACCCTTGGCCTCCAATTGAAGTGCATCCTTGGCTGATTTATTTCCATGATAGTCTCACGAACTCTGGTTCGGCTCCTCACAACCCTACCGCACCTCCTCCCAGCACCAGCCGTCCGCCGGAGAAACACAACCACATGCCCGTCGCAATGGCTCTATTGCGCTAGGTGGACGTGCCTCAGCCTTTGCGTCAGGAAATATGCTTTCATCCCTTCTGTTGGAAGAGCGGGCTCTACGTGCGCGCAAGAACAATATTGCCTCGTTCGGATACTCGTGGATCAGGCCGGCCGGCTGTCCCAAGACGATGCTGGGTATGAAAGAGGAGGAGGCAGAACGAGAAGAGGTGCTGGCCGCCGCAGCGGCAGAGAGAGCAGCGGCGGCAGCGGCGGAGGTGGGCGTGGATGGGTTAGACGAGCTCGGGAACCAGACGCAGGGGACTTTTGATGGCGATGGCCAGGATGACACGGGCATGGAGAGAGATCTGGACGATGATATCCCCGACGCGGATGCAAATGGACTGGTTGAGGAAGGCGAGGAAGGGCTGGAAGAGGATGATGTCGTGGATGAGGGAGAGTACATGGAACGTGATCTAGACGATGATATTCCGGAAGCATTCCCAGACGATGATGACCTGGATGAGGAAGACTTGGAGGAAGAAAATGACGACTTTGACAATCAGCCGGACCTGGACAATGATATCCCCAGTGCAGCTGAAGAAGATTACGACGATGAGGGAATGAGCGAAGGCGAGGAAGACATGGGTCGGGACCTGGATGATGACATCCCCGAGGCAGTCGAGGACCGGTCAGAGCAGGAAGAGGAATGGCAACATACCGACACCGACGCCGAATTTGACGATGAGGAGGATGTCAGCTTCTCGCAAGACCCCTTTACGCAGAGCTTCCGTGCCAGTACAACTAGCAGTCGAGGCCTGCCACCGCCGATACGACGGGAGAGGGAAACCGAAGCCCAACGGCGGTTCCTACAGAGGTGGAGTGGTGGCGGAGATGCCTTTGACACTAGCAGCATGCTCGTCGACGATGAAGACCTCCGCGCTTCTTTGACGAGTCAGGGCAGCCGACGGAGTTTCTTTAGTCGATTCCCGAGACGGCGCACGGGAGGGCCGAGAGACAGCCTTGAATGACTGCAAGTTCAATTCTTAAATGCATGAGTGTACTATAGTTCCTCGGAACGGGGTTATGGAGTCCTGGGTATATCGCAAAAGGAGGGATGATTGTGCTTATATAATTGCATGAAACCGAAGACGGCGTCTTGGGCACATACAAAATTTAATAGACTCATTCTATATTTATAACTTTACGTATGGTACAATGTCGTTCAAGGTAGCGGTCAAGCATTTCTATCATATTGCAAGCGAAAAGATTCATATATCAAATGCATGTAGATAGGCAGGTAGATGACATGATGGGTATGAAATTAGTATACTATACATCTCACATTTCATTGTACAGCAGAAGAGCAGATGCCGTCCTATGTATGGCGAACAGACCGAGCAAGCAAGCATTCATAACGTAAATCGCAGAGGCCCAAACTCCCAGCATGCACTATCATCGGTAGAGCACAAGGATGCAACCTTTATGAATGCCCAGCCAGGTAGAACTGTCGGTTGCGGGAGAAACAAAGAAGAATGGGTATGCTCTTATAGGCCGCTTATGTGCAAAGATGCTAATTATGTCGATGTCGAAGAAACGTCCTTGGCCTCAAGCCATGGGTTCTCTGGGCAAGGAGCTGGGCGGATGAAGGTGAAGGGACTGACGCAATTGTGTCCCTGTATATGGATTAATAGCTCAGGGTCATGGCCCTCTGCTATACAGCCATACCAAGAGAAAAACCGTTGCACTGGGCCAATAGAGCTCCCGAGATATCATGCTTGGCTAGATTAACAGCAGCAGCAACATGTCCCGTCCCTCACGTCAGCCAGACGTAGAAAAAGAGCAAGAAGACGGCGAAGAAGAATGCGAGCCACACTTTCCAGCTAACGCCGGTGCGCTCTGCCATCCGCAGCATACGGTTCATGTTTCCGCGGAGACGAACACGAGTGTTCTCGAAGGTGTTATTGAGGTCCGATATAGTGGAGGTATCCCGGATCTCGTCGCCAATAGCAACCGTGAGCTAGCATTGGGGTATCAGCATGTGTACATACTCAATTTTGGTGAGCAGAAGAAGCAAACTCACATCTTTCAACATCTTGACCTTGGCGCTGATTCCCTCGACCTCTGCGTCATTCTGAGACTCTAGATGGGAGAGTACAGCATCGGAGTAATGACCCCTATAGACCGGAATTGTGAGCTTCTTGCACGGGAAGGTCTAAATCCAGCTTCTATCTCCATTGTTGTAAGAACGTACTTGGCGTTTGGGGTCGCAGAACGAAACCCTCCCCTGGAGTTACCATTCACGGAGCCATCCCCGGCCGGGGGCGTGTATCCTCCATACCCGTAACCACCTACGCTGCCCGGGGATTTACTGGCGGGTCGAGAACCGCCACCGTATGAATCGAAAAGGGACGAGGAGGCACGAGGATCGCGCTGGTGTAGGTTGGAGCGTGGGAATCTACATACAAACCAGGAATCAGTATCGACTGGGGTATCTGGCGAAGGACAGATGGATAACGTCAACATACCGTGAAGCCATAACAGATCGTCAGATAATTAATTGTAGGAGTTGTGGTGGATATGAAATGATATTTTTAAATAAGGCGATCACAGCCAGCGAGGGCACATGTCGCAAGATGGAGGCCCTAAACAGCAGGGGAACGATGGGTGAGCAAGCAGGCTCTCGAGGAGAGGAAGAAGTGAGGACAAATCGCGGCGGAGAGCTAATAGCTGGCCATCCCCGGAGACCACGAGGTAGCTCACGTGACTCACTAGAAAGTAACAATCTAGCAAGTGCTCTACATTATCAAGAAATTTGTTTGTACAATGTACATGGGTTCTTTTTTTAATATCGAGATATTTGCATATAGATCCCCTCTGCAGCCCATGAGGTGAGTTTAGCATGGAGGTGATAGCTCAGTTGAACCCCATTGCGAGGCGATAGTTGCAGCCGAACCTGGCCCAGGCGAAAAAAGGGTCCAGGGTGTGCCTATCGGGAAATAACATTGGAAGGTTAAAAAACGCATAGGCAATCATAATGATCCGTATCCATCCCAAAACCTGGAAAAGAAAAACATCATAATATGATTAAGAGATGAAAGTGTAACCGGCATAAAGGAACCGAAGAAACCCTCAAAACAGACCCTGCGCCTATCCAGCCCAATTCCCATGTGCGCTCGCCGCCCCTAAACGTGTGTTGGTATCGTCGTAGCTTGATCCAAAAATCTAATCCTGCATCTTGTTGTCCTCGTCGTCATCACCACCGCCAACGTAGTCGTCGTCCTCATCGTCATCCTCGTCCATGCCCTCATCCTTCAGACTCTCAGCGGCGGCTTGGAAGTCAATGTTCTTGCCGCGTGTACGGCGGCCACCGGAGATGATGTTCTCCGAGGAGATGGGCTCCAAGTTGTCGTTGTCTTCATCGTCATCTGGCAGTGAAGATGCGCAGTTAGTATGGGGTTCGAGCTAGGGAGGACGAGATCCGTGTCCAATGAATGGAGAGTAGAGTAGAGTTAGGGCATCATACCATCATCAACCTAAGCGGAACAGAAAAGGAATCAGTCAGCTGGACATGTCCTATTGTTTGGAGATCTAGTCAGTGGATAATAGGAAACTCACCATTTCTTCGGCCTCGCTCTCGTCACTCTCATCATCGTCCATGCGCATGTCTTGAGTGGGGTCTGTGGCCTTGCCCTTGCCCTTGTCCCAGGCAGCAGCATCGGGAGCATTGGCGGCAGGGTCGAAGCCGGTGGTAGCTTGGTTGTTGTCACCCATGATGAATGAAGAAGAGGAGTAGTGGTAGTACACGGGAGGGTGGTTCTGAAAGATGGATTGGTAGGAGTGTTGGAAGTAAAGGCGAAGCCAATCGAGTAGGAAAGAAACACTCCGGAGGAAGAGAAAATTCGTAAGGAACAGGAAATTCGAAAACAGGGGATAGCAGGAAGCGTGGAGTTTAAGTAGGTAGCGGTGTCAAGGGCAGCGAGGATAACACACTCTCTCTGTCAGTCTGTCTCTCTCACTCTTCAAGGCAAGATCAGTTCCTGTCGCAAGGGGAGATTCACCTCGGCGGGCATTGGGGCGATGATTGGTTGCCAGGGGTGGCGATCAGCTGCAGCTCCCGTGATGGGGCTTTGCCCTGTTGGGAGGGCTCATAACAAACAATGCAGACGTTCTGGCCCTGGAAATGAAGGGAGTTGCCATTACTGCGTTTAATGATCAGGCACAGTCACTACGAATGGATATGAGCTTGATCTACTAGTACTGCTGCAAATTGGCAGAGTGACAAACAACAGAAGCTTTGTTTGAGTACAGTGCAGCGGCGGTTTCTCAGACAACGGATTGGGATCGCGGGGAAGATTTAGCAGCAGGGGTAGCTGGAGTGGAAGTTTCTCAAAAAGAAGATGGATACAGCTACAAAAACGAGGAGTAATATTACCCGGAATGTAATGGATTCTTTGGGAGTATTCTTGAGGAATATTGCTGGAGCGATTGATGGCTCTGCTAGAAGGGGGCTAGACTCGTTAGTTATATAACTAACTAATGTTGTGCCAGGTACTCTGTCAAGAGTGACTTGAATCATGTGACAGTTCTGGACTGGCCAAGAATGCGCAGGAAAGAAAAGAACAAGAATGGAAGTATGGAAAATCCATCGAAATTCTCCGAAGGAGAAGAAAGAAGAAAGAAGAAAGAGAGGAGAGAATGATATGAACCAGCGTCATTATGACGGCCTCTATTCTGCCCAATTCCATGGATGTCCAAAATCTTCCCCAAACAGGGTGAGAATTGAGTACAGAGTAAGCTATGTTGTACATTCAGCACTTCTATTCTACTTCTATCTGCACAATTTCTCAGGCTAGGAATTGAAGAGGGGGGATTGGGCGGCAATTCATTTTGGGATTCATTCTTTGGGAAACAGTAGTATCATGAGATAATAATAAAAAACACACTAACATGGTAAACCAAGAAGAATAACTCAAAATAGTGAATTACACGCGAGTGAGTCATGGCTGTGAACCAAAGATCGAGTTGAACTACTAAAATTAAAATCAATCAAAAATAACTAAAATGTCAAAGAAAAAATTCGGATTCTGCCCATTACGTCATCCGGATTACCCCGCCAACCGCCCACCAAAAAAACCCCTCAAAGAGTCATTCTAGATCTATCTATCTTCAATGCTGCAGGGAAGTAGATCGTAGCATCACAGAGAGAGAGAGAGGGAGGGAGATAGTAACTAGTGTTAGATGGTAGCCTCACTCCCCAGATCATGCCAGTGCCCCCTTCTCCCCTAACCCTGACGAGTGAATTCTCGAAGGGTCGAGTGAATGCTGGGCAGGACTGGGGCGCGGATGGAAGCCAGTCGAACCCGATGGATGCCCATCGAAACGGGCAATTGCTAGAAGCTTCGCTGGAGCAGCAGCTCACCGCCCGCCACTATATCAGCTTTCGCTCTCGCACAAATTCTCGCCCTCTCGATTTCTTTTTCTCTCCATCAATCTCTTCCTCTTTATACCCCAATCTTCCCATTCTTCTGTTGTGTTTTGTACACTACTCTCTCCTAACGAATTCCCTTCTCCCTCTTCTCTCTCCCTTAACGAACCTCCTCTTACACACATAACACACATACACACACATTCATCATGGCCCCCGCTGTCGGTATCGATTTGGGAACCACCTACTCCTGTGTGGGTGTCTTCCGTGATGACCGCATTGAAATCATCGCCAACGACCAGGGTAACCGCACTACCCCCTCTTTCGTGGCTTTCACCGACACCGAGCGTCTCATCGGTGATGCCGCCAAGAACCAGGTCGCCATGAACCCCCACAACACCGTCTTCGATGCTAAGCGTCTGATCGGTCGTCGTTTTGGCGACGCTGAGGTCCAGTCCGACATGAAGCACTGGCCCTTCAAGGTTGTCGAGAAGGGTGGCAAGCCCATCGTCGAGGTTGAGTTCAAGGGCGAGGCCAAGCAGTTCACCCCCGAGGAGGTCTCCTCCATGATCCTCACCAAGATGCGTGAGACCGCTGAGGCTTACCTCGGTGGCACCGTCAACAACGCTGTCATCACTGTCCCCGCCTACTTCAACGACTCTCAGCGTCAGGCCACCAAGGATGCTGGTCTCATTGCCGGCCTGAACGTTCTCCGTATTATCAACGAGCCCACCGCTGCTGCCATTGCCTACGGTCTGGACAAGAAGGCCGAGGGTGAGCGCAACGTCCTCATCTTCGATCTTGGTGGTGGTACCTTCGATGTCTCCCTCCTGACCATTGAGGAGGGTATCTTCGAGGTCAAGGCCACCGCTGGTGACACTCACTTGGGTGGTGAGGACTTTGACAACCGCCTCGTCAACCACTTCGTCAACGAGTTCAAGCGCAAGCACAAGAAGGACCTCACCTCCAACGCTCGTGCTCTCCGTCGTCTCCGCACCGCTTGCGAGCGTGCCAAGCGTACCCTCTCTTCCGCTGCCCAGACCTCCATCGAGATCGACTCCCTCTTCGAGGGTATCGACTTCTACACCTCCATCACCCGTGCTCGTTTCGAGGAGCTCTGCCAGGACCTCTTCCGTTCCACCATGGAGCCCGTTGAGCGTGTCCTCCGTGACGCCAAGATCGACAAGTCCTCCGTCCACGAGATCGTCCTGGTCGGTGGTTCCACCCGTATCCCCAAGATCCAGCGTCTCGTCAGCGACTTCTTCAACAAGGACGCCAACAAGTCCATCAACCCCGATGAGGCCGTTGCCTACGGTGCTGCCGTCCAGGCTGCTATCCTGTCCGGTGACACTTCCTCCAAGTCCACCAACGAGATCCTCCTGCTCGACGTTGCCCCTCTCTCCCTGGGTATCGAGACCGCTGGTGGTGTCATGACTGCTCTCATCAAGCGTAACACCACCATCCCCACCAAGAAGTCCGAGACCTTCTCCACCTACTCCGACAACCAGCCCGGTGTCCTGATCCAGGTCTACGAGGGTGAGCGTGCCCGTACCAAGGACAACAACCTGCTCGGAAAGTTCGAGCTCACTGGCATTCCCCCCGCCCCCCGTGGTGTTCCCCAGATTGAGGTCACCTTCGATCTTGATGCCAACGGTATCATGAACGTCTCTGCCATCGAGAAGGGCACTGGAAAGACCAACAAGATCACCATTACCAACGACAAGGGCCGTCTCTCCAAGGAGGAGATCGAGCGCATGCTTGCTGAGGCCGAGAAGTTCAAGGCTGAGGACGAGGCTGAGGCTTCCCGTATCCAGGCCAAGAACGGTCTCGAGTCCTACGCTTACTCCCTCAAGAACACCATCAACGAGGGCAAGCTCACCATCAGCGATGAGGACAAGCAGAAGGTCACCGCCAAGGTTGACGAGGTCATCAGCTGGCTCGACAGCAACCAGACCGCCGAGAAGGACGAGTACGAGGCTCAGCAGAAGGAGCTTGAGGGGTATGTTCATCCTTTCCTTTCATCTTAAACAAAAAACTATTTGAATCATGACGCTAACTTTTTGTGCTAACAGTGTTGCCAACCCCATCATCTCCGCTGCCTACGGTGGTGCCGCTGGTGCCGCCCCCGGCGGTGCTGCCCCCGGTGCTACCCGCACTGCTGACGAGGTCGAGGAGCGCCCTGAGGAGCTCGACTAAATGCTTTAACCAGCTGCGGTCTCGATTCTTTTCTTGTTCTTTCTTCATTATACCTCCAGCCGTTTGCAGATAGGCGAGCGGTTTTAATGGATCTGCTTGTTTCTTTTTCCTAGTATCATGTTAACGAATTTATGGGAATCACTTTTTCTTTGTCTATGCATAGATTCGAGTTGCTAGTTGTTACTGCATGATGACTTGCTCTGCAGACTCTGGGAGGGAAAAAGTTTCCTTTCGACGAATACATTACTTTAATTCAAATTCGTGCAATTGTAGATACAATCAATCAACTGTTCAATACTAAAACCTGCCCACTTATTGTTCACTTGAATTTGAACTTTTCTTGTATCGCGTCAGAACTACCTTGTCTAGACCCTCCGCCTAGTCTGAATTCTAACCAAGATATCAGTTAGTACTTTATAATTGATCTGGGAATACCTCAATCAATCATCGCCTCATATGTATTCAGTAAAGATCGCTCAATCACACAAAGTGACTTATAACAATAGAACCCTCAACGCCCTACCCAACCCACCCATAATATACAGTTTCCATATACACACATCCTCACCCAACCAACCCATAAATAAACATAATCCTTGCACCTTCCCCGCCAACAACACATCCACATCCTCAATTTATCTAAACCTCCCCAATTCTTCCCCAACGCACACCACCACCACCCATCATAGTATCATAACCTAGCATCACCCCCAACAGTGATAGAAAAGGACAAAGCAATGTCCACAGTGATCGAGCGACAGGGTATATAGGTAGTAGGTATAAGAGAGAGACAAAGGAAAATCACAACCCCTCAAAATCCCCCGCCCACCACCTCCTCACTCTCCCCGCGCCCACCGAAACCACATGTCCAATTCCAATGTCCTTAGCCTGATCGGGGAACTTTTCGCGCTGGTCGCGCTGAATGCGCAATAATGCCGCCGAGGTGCCGATGGTGAGGGCGAAGATGGGGTCTGCGATTCTAATTTTTTCCAAAATTCGCATTATTCGTTAGTATTCTTGAATGATATGTGTATATGTGTACTGATTGTATGATGTGCGCTGGGTGTATGTATGTATGCGATGTGTCAATTAGATTCAAGGAACAGGTAGAGAGGGATTATTGCCATGCGATGTCGGCTTCATATTAGGTAGGTAGGTAGGTGGATGGGTAGAGGTGCATGCATGCGGCAATGAGGGAATTTAGGATATATGTGCGCTCGGTAGAACGACGTACTTGGAGATTAGGTAGACTGGCATTTTGGGCGGCTTGGCTGTGCAGGTTTTGGCTGGTGGAGAATGTGCGCTGGATCAAGATGAGTTGTAGACTTGATTGAGATGGGTACTAGTTGGAAGCTGTAGCTGGTGCAACTCCGCGCCGGATGTCATGGGTCACGTGATATATAGGCTGGTTGAGGTGTATCTCGATTCGGATTGATGATAATGTCTGTTAAGTTGTAGATGGCAGTGTGCTGGTGCTGCTAATGTAACTGCAAAGTTGGTGACTGGTCGATATGTAGCTACTCTAAAAGTTTAGTCCCTACAATGGCATTTTCTTCAATACCGGCTGCAGCCAGAAGGATGCATACCGGTTGAAAATGCGCTACAATGCTTGAACAAATCCAGTAGACTGACATCTACTACTGACAGAATTCATGATTAAGAGGAGTTGTATTTCGTATCCAAGAGCATACCATCTTGCACCCATCATCCGGAACAGTGCCGAAGGGAAAAAGAGTCTATCATAAATACACAAAGGCTTAACAGAATGAATGCTCTATAACAGCACCAAAACAAAGCCCCGAATCGAACATAAAAAAGTAATAATGTCAAAAATAACCCCGGATATGGGTAGAAAATGAGAAAGACACTCGCTTTTCGGATCAGCTAATCATCAACATCTTAAACAACCTGGCCGAAGGCGGGGATCAACGTCTGAGCCAGCCAGAAGCTGAAAACGAGCTTGGGTCCGGTCATCAGGAGCTTGGGCGTCAGACCCTTGAAGAAACTGGTGACACCCTCGTTCTTGACCATGTTGGACAGGATGCGGAAGCCAGACTCGGGGTTCTCGAAGTTGCGGTTCTGGATACGGGTCTTGATCACATCCAGAGGAGCCGACACGACCAGGGAGGCACTGGCACCGCAGATGGAGGCAACGAAGTTCTGGCTCCAGGAAGCAGCGTTGTAGTCCTTCAGGGAGTAGATGTACTCCTTGGCGAAAGCGGAACCACCGAAGAGCTATTTCCAGGCATTAGTATCAAACACTCATACATGAAAAAGGCAACAATCGGGACCATGGGAACATACAGCGAAAGATCCGGGAGCGTTACGGGCGGCAGTCCAGCCAGCACCACGGTAGAGACCCATACCCTCATCGGAGATGATCTTGAACAGACCACGGCCACGGAAAGCCTCGGGGTTAGTCTGACGCTTGATCTTGAGGACATCCAGGGGCAGGAGGACAATCTCTCCGATACCGATCAAACTATTTCCATATGATTAGCCAGAGTGTTACTCTCAATGGCGGGAACACAAAACGAACCTTCCAGCAGTGGCGTGCATGATGGCCTTGCCGGTACCCTTGCCGAAAGCATTGCCGAAGTCGGAACCCCAGTGCTGAGCGAGGTAGTCGCGAGCGAAAGGCTGACCACCGTACTTGTAGATACGCTGGAGAACCTTGTAACCGGCGGCGTAACCCAGACCGGGGAAGAGGGAGGTGAACTTTCCGCCGAAAGAGGCGTTGGCGTATTCCTTGAAGACAACTTGGTTCAGACCGGCGGTGGAGGTAATCTAAGCAAGCACACAGTTAGTACAATTCATTTCTATATGATTGTATGGATAAGGGATAGTAAGTGTCGTACCCGAGTCTGGTTGCTCATCAATCGCTTGGAGATAGTATCAACCTGGTCGATGAGTCAGTTTTTGATTTCTCAAGCGAGAAGAGCGCAATCGATGCGCAAATATTCGAGAGGGTAGTGTATAATCGTACAGGGTGGAAGACCATCAACTCCGCAATTCCGGCAGTTCCTGAGACGGAGAGTTAGTCCTTGAGCGCAACCCCCACGCCCTGGGCACAATATGGGTGTGACACATACCGGAACCCAGAAGACGAGCAGTCGCGGATTCTCTCTTAACATCCTTAGCGGCAGAGCCAGCACCGGCTTGGGCCATAGCGGGAGACATCTTGATTATGGAAATTGGGCTGAGTTGGGCGTAGTCGGGGTAGAAATTGGAGAGTATAGAATTTTCCGGGCCTGAGGCTTCTTTTCCGTCGGGGAGATGAAAAGGCGATTCAGAAGGAAAGAGGAAGGACGGAAAGATTTATATATAGGACAGAAATGCCAACAAAGACAGGACAAGAGACCACAGCCGGGGCTAGGCAATGCAGCAAACAAAAGGATGATGGGTAAGGCGGATGCACGAGAGAGGGAGGGGAGGAAAAAGAGCAAGAGGAAGAGGAAGAGACCGAGAAAGATGGACTGACTGACTGTTTCTGCGCCGACTCGGAACCGCTCCAAGCGTCGCGGCCGGTGCTTCAACGCCACTAGCCCCCTTTGGGCCTGGCACTACCGGCCCTGGATCGGAGCGGCCCTGATTATCTCAGCAGCCGGTGATAAACTAACTAACTGGTTTTAGATCATCTAGTTAGTTATCTGAACTACTAATCCATACATTAGCTAATTCTACCTACTTATTTCATGTCCAGGAGAGTATGTAATAGTAGCTTGTTCAATCATGGCGCATTTTTGTCAAACCTGTATTTACGGTCACACAAGACAAACTTCCATCAATAGCAACGATTGTTTCTCATTTAAACTACCATCTGAAGAAGAATACTCATTTCGCCAAGAGAGTTCACGAAGATTATTGAAGAGCCCCCAAGATAACGCCCGCGTACAGCACAGCATAGAAACATCACAGCGTGGTCGAGCTCGCCATCCACCCCTGTCCTACAGCAACCAACCCCTACATCCAGGAAGTCAATCTGCAACTTCCCCAAAAGAAGGAAATGGCAACTGAAGGAAGTGACTTGAACGATGACGGCAGCGAATTCACTTCAAGAGACAGGGAAATCAGACCAAAAGGGAAAAGATGAGATCGACCAGCGCCTAGCAGTCACCGAACGTATTCTCGCCGGAGTACCTAATAAAGAAAGATCCGGATTAGCACTATGCACGCAGAACAGAGATACTAGGGTATCGGAGGGGTCGGCATACGTGATATACAAGAAGCCATCTTCATCCTTGTGCTCTTCATAGATGCTGCTCATCAGAGCAGCCGTAGGTGGTAAAACCTCATCGACAAAGATAAAGATCGCTTTCTCAGGAGACAGCTTGATCCGCTTACGGATCACGTAGACGAACTGCCCAACTGTAAGGTCGGCAGGGACAAGGTACTTCTTCTTGTCGATGGTAGCGATGTCCGATTTTTCGACCTTTTCGCAGATTACCTGTAGGATAGAAGCTAGGTTAGCGACTTGAACAAGCGGTGAGCTAGGAACCCGGTTTCTTCCCCCCCAAAAGACCATGAAACCAAAATCGCAGTAGAAAGTAAAATAGAAAATAGACGTACTGGAATGCGATCGGCATATTTCTGGCGGATACGCTCGGCCTCTGCCTTGCGCTTCTCGAAGGGGTGCTCGTCCTTAAACTTGGAACGCATATTGATAAGTTGATGAGGGCGGCTAATAGGTCTGGTCCGACGGGTCCCTTAAGGGGGAGATAGTGACGAAGTAGACGAAGAGGAGCGAAAGGGTGACAGAAACTGGATGAAAGCTAAGAGATAAAAGAGCAAGGGTGAGATGGTCGATGGATAGATGGATGGGATGGGATGGAGAGATAGATGGATGATGACAAAAGGTGAGCAGGCTGGCAGTTGTAGAGAGTTGAAGGCGACAGCCCCGCGTCATTTGGTGAGGGAACGGCTTCCACGGCTGATAAGGCCGCCAGGCAAGCGTGGATCACGGGGTGGAGGCGGTGAGCGGCCCCACACGTGAGTCAGGTTGGGTCATGTGCTGGCTCGATTCATAGCACATTCGATCATTTTTCGGATATCTAAGCCAGTCCGTCAGGGCAGTTCCTGTCGTCATCCTGGCACGTGGATGTCGTGCACTCATCCAAATGACCAATGCGGATGATACCGTCTGGTTGTCATCGAGCTGGGCCGCCTTTGCGTTACTGCATCGGTAGTGAAGTGGTAGCTCGGCGGGCGATGCCTCCAGCCTCCACTTAGGATCAGCGCCTAGATTATGGGGTTTCCCATGCTAGAATGGTTACTGTCTACCGCTCGGTGCAGCACCCACATCTCCTGCACTCTATTAGTTACTGCTGTTGAGTGACTCAAGATCGCTCATTATTTGCCTAGTGGTTAAAACTACTCCGCTAGTGACTGACACATTCTTCACTCATGGAGCAACCCCGCTTGATGTTGTGCTGCTGCCTTGGGGGGTGTTCGGACCCAGGGGTTGGCTTCGGCATTGGCATTAGCAGCCCTGCAAACCATGCAAAAGTGCTTATCTCAGCCGGGCCGGGTCCCATGTTCAGACAAACCCAACAATCATTGCAAACTGGACAAACAGAATTCATATCCTCACGACATTCGGGAATATCGAGGCCGCAGGTGGTCCCATACTGTGCCTCGGAGCCGATAATCTGAACAAATCCTCCATTACCAAATCCCTTCCCACTACTGGCTCTAGACCATAGGTGGAGCTCGGAGGGAACAACAACCGGTTGATTCTCGACAGGCACTATACCTGGCACCACCTGATCTTTGGCAGATCAGCCAATTCCATCTACTCTGCAACAATGGCTGTTCCCCGGCCATATATGCCTCTTCGGAGGTCGCTCTGCCAATTGTCATCTCGATCCTGTCGCACACCTCGCAACCTCTCAGCACCCTTTCGCAGATACTCCTCGGAACAGAAACCCCCTTCCGAACCCAAGCCATTCACTGTCTGGAGACCATACCTACGGCTGGCCATTGGTGTGCCCTTCATCGGTGCTTTGGTATATTCCATGGTAGACTTTACCCACCATGCACTTTGCGCGAGCGTCTTAAACTGACTAGATTCAATGCAGATGACAGAAGAAGTAACCGAACTCGACTCGCCTTCCCTCGTGGAACTCGATGAAACGCTCAAGAAGCAAGCCACGATCAGCGAACAATCTCCCATGCGCCTGCGCATGGAGAAGCTGATCAAGGATCACCAACAGAAAATCATTGAAGAGCTGAGCCGGATAGATGGAAAGCAATTCAAGACTGATACCTGGACGCGCCCCAACGGCGGAGGTGGAATATCCTGTGTCCTTCAAGACGGAAATGTCTTTGAGAAAGCCGGAGTCAACGTATCCATCGTCTACGGCGAACTTCCCCGGCCAGCCATTGAGAAGATGCGGGCAGACCACAAGTCCTTTGTTGGCGCCGACGTGGACTCCTTGAGCTTCTTCGCTGCCGGTCTGTCCCTCGTTCTCCACCCCCACAACCCCATGGCCCCAACCGTCCACCTGAACTACCGGTACTTCGAGACATCCGATCCCAAGGACCCCCTCAATGGCGACAAGAACTGGTGGTTCGGCGGTGGCACAGATCTGACCCCCACCTATCTTTTCCCCGAAGACGCCAAACACTTCCACCAGACCATCAAAGACGCCTGTGATCGCCACGACGCCACATACTACCCGAAGTTCAAAGCCTGGTGCGACAAGTACTTCTATATCCCCCACCGCCGCGAATGCCGCGGTGTAGGAGGTATCTTCTTCGATGACCTGGACGCCAGCTTCCTCCAGTCCTCGTCAACCTCCTCACAGAATCCCCAGGAGACCCTTTTCTCTTTCGTCTCGGACGGTCTCGCTTCTTTCCTCCCCTCTTACGTCCCCATTATCGAACGCCGGAAGGACATGCCTTTTACACCCGAGCAAAAGGAGTGGCAACAGCTTCGACGCGGTCGCTACGTCGAGTTCAATCTCGTCTATGATCGCGGTACTAGCTTCGGTCTCCGCACCCCTAATGCCCGCATTGAGAGTATTCTGATGAGTTTGCCCCGTACCGCAAGCTGGGCTTACATGGACCCCGTGTCGGGAACCCGGACGGAGGATTCTGTAGATGGTGATGAGGCACTTCTGGGCGAGGGCAAGGAGCGCGAGAAGGAGATCATGGATGTTCTGAAACATCCTAGACAGTGGGTGTAATGCTGCTGAATTAGATGAATCATGGATCATCGGCAAGGATATGGTTTCTTTTCCTGAAAAATTATGTATTATCTGCATGTATATTATTTTATGAGCTGCATCTATGGGCTACGTCACGTCAAAAGCAGCACTGTCTTTAGAAATCAGAAAAAAGAAAGACTTTCAAAATATACACTTGTCTAACACATGCAACAATGCCACAAAGGTGCGTATGATATGTTTATAATGCCGATCAAGCTCCAACGCAAAACCCAGGGGTAGTAGTAGTAGTCGTAGTAGTTGAGCCGCAACGAGCTGGTATAGCGCGGCGAGCAACAAAAACATATGTATGTAGAAAGGAAAAGGTATAGCAACAACAATAAACACAGTCTTGGTAACGATGGAAAATGCGCAGGGGAGAAAAAAGGGGAAAGGGTAGAATTAGAAAGACATGTACGAAGAAGAGATAGGACGTAAACCATATCGCCAACATACAAACCGGAGCTTTATCGACCAGCGACCACGCTTCTTTGCCTGGCCAGCCAGCCCTTCTGAGCATCGGCCAGGGATCCATTCCGATACCGGGCCAAGCCAATGTTGTTGTTCTGTAATCGATTCTGGAGTTCGTACCAGGAGGAGCTCATCAAAGTCAGCTCCCGCGCTTGAGCATCGATTATCTTCTGGAGTTCGAGCTTTTTGGAGAATTTGAATATTAGTGGCTTGCAATAACTAGTCCGTGTCAAATGACAACTTACCTCCCGCTCTTTGCTGATTCCATCATCCGTATCCTCTTCAAGTTGCTTTATCCGCTCTTGGAGGAACTTGATGTGTTCGTTCTGTTGATGGATGTACTGCAAGATGATTCGTATTAGTCTTTTGTTGGCCGTAAAGTGCAAATGGGATAGGATGTATCAATGGGTCAAGGTGGCAGCCGAGCCTCAGCGCCTGAACCGCTTGGCGATTAATCGACCCAGGCGCGATAGACCGGGTGCCTTCGCTGCTAATATCTGGGTCGAATCGCCAAATGGCCGATCCGCTAGAAGATCGAGACGTTTCCTGTCGCCACTGAGGCTACCAAGGCGAATAGCCCTTGCTTGGTTCGGGATAACACAAGTTGAGAGCCGATGGGGTTTCTTGTAACTAACCTCTGCACGTTTCGCCAGCCTCTCCAGGTTCTTTTCAATCTGCGCGGCGACTTGTCTAATGAGCTCTACAGCCGACTTTTGAGCAGCTTCGGGATCATCGCCATTTTCCTGTGCAGTGAGTTCGGCCAGCAGCTTCTTCATTTCCTCTGCGGCTTCATGATCTTCCGCACGGAACTCCGCTTGCTTCTTCTCGAGCAAGTTTCGCAGATCGTCACGTTCGGCACATGTGACCTGGACCAGAGCCTGGGTTGAATCAAGCTCGGCCTGCAAATTGTACAGTCTGCGCATAGCATCATCTTCTCCTTCACGAGCCTTAGTCAAATCCGATGCGCTGCTCGCTTTGATCTCGGCAATCAGATCCATGTTCTCTTTGTTGGAGAGTTCAACTGTATTCGTGTAAGCAAATTTCATACACACGGATTTCGCCGAACAGTAGCTACTCACTTTCCGCCAGCGCATCGTTCAGCGATCTCTTGGATACATCGAGAGCTTCTTGGGCCTCGGCCAATCTCTTGAGGGCAGATGTATACTGGTCGTACAACTTCCAGTAATCATCACTGATGCATCGTTAGCGGTTATACTAGCTAGGCTGCTCCTAGTAGGAAATACCTCTGCGAAGAATTTGCGCGGGCCTGTTGCAGCGTTTCATTGAAGGCTTCGGAAAAGTCCAAGCCCACCTGTATTACCTTGTTAGCGGCTTCATATAAGATGATAGTAGCCATAAATTGTAAACATACGGATGGCCCTTTCAGAGATTCCACTTCCTTCTTCAGCTCTTCATTCTCAGATTTCCTGTAGCGAGTTAGCCTAGATCTCCGTCGCTGTAGCACAGGGTCTTCTAACAGCTGTGATTCCTTCACACCGATCGCCTCAAAGTCTTTCTGCAGAGTGCCCTCGAGCTTGGGAGTTTCAGTACCCGGCGTCAGGGATGGGCTTCCAGGAGAACCTTCCAGTTCACGGATTCGCTCACGGAGCTCGCTTATCAAAGCATCATCACGTTCGCGCTGCTCATCGGCGTTACTGAGTCGCTCTGTGAGAGCATGGTTGTTGAACTCGAGCTGCTTCTTCAGGTTTTGGATTTCACTGCACTCCTGCTCAATGCGAGGTAAAACTCTGCGGTATTCTTCAAGCTCCACCTCACGCTCGGAGTTCCATTTCTGCTGCGAATCCGCCTCCTTCAGCTGTTGCTGGAAGTCTTTGATCTGGTTCCTGAGCGACTGGTTCTCCTTCTCGAAGTCCTGGCTAGCCTGCAGCTTCTGGCGGTACTTTTCGGCCGCATTCGCCTTACGGGCGAGTTGATCTCGCTCAGTCTTCAGCTCATCATAGTCATCCTGAAGCTTCTGGAATCGTTGGTTCTTGACGCGTAACGACTCCACCGTCATGCGTAAACTGTCGATCTCATCCTGCGCTGTAGCCAGCCTTGCTTCCTGAGTTGCGATAATGTCTTCCTGTTGGCGGGATTTAGACTCAAGAGCCTTTGCGCTGAGTCCAAGATCACCCTTCCCAGACCTCAAGTTGACTAGTCGGTCTTCGGTCGATGCAAGCCGGCTTTGCAAGGTATCGTTGTTCTCCTGGAGGCGCGCCAGGCGATCATGCATATCATCGATCTGTTTCTGCATGTCCTTTTTCTCACGCGCCATCCGGTTATTCTCCGCCAACACCTTTCCTACCCGCTCTTCAAACTGCAGTTCCGGGTCGACTGGCAGATCCCGCTCCTCCTTGACATCGTCCTCGCCATCGATAGCCTCATGCTGACCATTCTGAGCTTCTTCAAAGATGTTTTTCAGGGTCTCTTGCGTCGGGGTACTTAGGCTCTGAAGGGTCTCGACGTAGGTCTGCGCGTTGGGGGAGCGGATGGCGGCGATCAGAAGGAGCTTCAGGAGTTTGTTGGCCTCCTTGACGGAGTTCTTTTCGGCGACCAATTCGAGGTTGGGATTGGGGTCAAGACCCGTGGGCATGCCATCGGGTTGTTGGCGGATGTAGTTGACGAGCAACTTGTGGATATGTTTCAGGTTCTGCCATTTGGATAGCCAGTGGTCGGACGGGGCGCGCTGGGGGATCTCGTCGAGGAAATACTGCGGATCGATGTCCTGCAGGATCTCCCAAATGATGGTGCCATCCGATAACTCCTCGGTCGTCCGGATAGTCTTACCCAAGGCGAAACTGTTGACCCATTCCAGCAGGGCCTGGGTGACGGTATGCTCCGCAGCCATGGTCGGCGATGTTGACTGCAATCGGGGGCAATCAACTGGGCGGGGAACGCGGCGGTTGTTGCAAATTCCAGGAACGGCTGGGTGGAATTGCCGGCAATTGTATTCGGATCGCGGCCAGGAGGGGCTAATTGCGACCCCTCAGCACGGTTGAGTTTAAACCTGGACGGCGGAGGAAGAGGACTGTGCCTCGATGAGATCCTTTTTTGAGCGCCTCCGGGGCGTTGGAGGCGGGATCCACGCTACGCGCATCGACGAGCTATAAATACCGGAGTCCCGCTTGGGAGGAAAGGAATGATTTAGGATCACCCACGGCGCTGCTTCCTTATTTCCTACTTTCTCTCCATGTGAAACAACATCATCCACTGAGAATGAAAGTGGGTTAAAAGATTTGGAAAAGTGACGTTTTATCCCCTGTCATGTATTCATATGTTGGGGCTTTTGTGTTGTTTGTTGAATTATGGGAAACAGTCGTCGGCTTTAAGAGTTATGACATTAAATGGTTCATTAGACAAGAACAAGACACAAACCTTCTTTCCAGAAACAGAAGAAGACAAATGATACATAAGAATCCTGAATTACGATCTAGGCTAAGTTTTTCCCATCCATTATCGACCATCAACGGTCGAGCCCCGAAACCAGCGGGAACCCCATCCATCATACAGTAGTAATTTGGAATAGAGAAAAGGGAGCTTTCTTCTCCCGGACTATCCAATATCGCCCTCACTGAATAGTGACAGTCATGTCTTTCTCGACAGTTGGATTGTATGCCGCGAATTCAGTTGACAGCTGTTGAACCGAGTCGGCCTTGGTGTCGGCTGCGAAGCCCCTGTGTGTATGTATGTCAGACCGAGCAAGCACCTCAGGACTTTCGAGAGAGAATTACTTGAGCAAGGCTATAGAGAGCAATATGTTAGCACTGCCACTACCCAAAACGCAAGGATGACTAGGGGTAACTGCTTACTGTAATTATGGGTGATCTTGCCACCCTACCACCAGAAACGGCCAGTTAGTAACATATAGATGTGCCAACGCTGTCAAAGCACCCGGTCACATACAGCGTCCTTAACTGATTGCTTTGCCTGATCAACCACCGAGTCAGGGGTACCTGAAGGGAACGTGACCAGAATCGATTCGGCCAGGGCCAAGGGGAGCAACCCCAAGACGGTAACAGTAGCAGACAACTTCATGGTGAAGAAATCGACACAAGGCAATATTTCCTAAAAAACCGATGATAGTATTACAAAGGCCCAGATTCAAGTACCAATGGTTGTAATATAGAGATAGAGGCGATGAAGAAGGAGTTGTACCTAGTCAAGTTGGGAGAGTAAGGTGTGACTGCGTCATACTACCCACTCCCAGCGATTCACGAGAGCGCTGGAATGCATTACCCGAATAGGGTTAGTCTGTAACGGATAAGGAACCAGAGTCTCAAACTAGTGTGCTGACTCAGCCAGTCACGCCGCGGCGCTGACGCTTTCTATTCTTCGGACCTCGTGAGCGCAACTTCCGCAATTCTGCCTGCCTCTCCTGCTCCCTGTTCGCTTCCCTTTCCCTCGCTTCTTCCCGGCCGATTTTGGCTGCTTTGCTAATTCCCTGATCATTCTGGTCGAGCTTTGATTTTCCTATTCAGCTGGTTTTCTTTTCCCCTTGGTCCCCTCTGCACGTACGATCTCCCCATCGAGGTGTGTAACTGCTGGGGGTATTCCCAACTTCACTCCGAGACCTTCCCCCTCCCCTCCATCTCTCATCCACTCCCCTTCGCCCCGGTTTGGTTCCTCTACTAGTTATTGTCTACTGGAAGGGTCAATCAGTACGGGGGATTGTATGAGATAGATTGATTAACACTGGGTTGACGGGGTGTTGTAGCGCGGGTTCTTTGTTGACTTTCGGGTTCTGGTGGAGGATTTGCGCTTGCGGCCTCCTGTTGTTGTCTCAAGTCTGACCAAGATAGCTAGCAAGCATTCTACAAGTTCCGACAGCTCTTTCCATCTCTTGCACCCAGGAGATACGTTTATTTGGAGAGAAACAAAGCACGCGGATATAGGAATCTTTATATACGGTGGTAAAAGGGACAAAGCCGGGGAAAAAAAATTCAGAGGAGAAAAGAAGAGAGAAACCAAAGCAATAAGAAGGACAATTTCCTAACAAGAAAGGAGAACAGGGAAGAAAGTCAAGAAAAAAAAAAGGCAAGAAAACAACAAGAAGATAACAAAGTCCAAGGAAGAGAAAAGGAACTGGAAAATACAGTGAAAAAACAAATAATTTATATAAAGAGGAGGATTCAGAGGAGAAAGAACAAACACAAGGAACATAAATATTCTTTCCGAGTGTTACGCCCTTCTTTAGCGCTTGTCCATTGTTCATTTCTTTCTTCTTTGTCGATACCCTTTTCCTATTCTCACTTGCCCCCTGTTCCGCCTTCATCAGCCTCATCAGCCTTTGTATCTGCCCACCATGTCATCCGGGTTGGCCTCCGACGAAGTTGCCGAGGACTACAAGAATTCCTTGGAAGATCTAACCAACAATGACAGGTTTCAGATCAGCAATCTGACTGTCATAGCCAAGGAGAACACTGAACATGCGATGGCCATCTCCCGCGTGTTGGAGAACCACATTCGAACAGTAGGTGACACGCTCTCAGAATACCACCGGTTGGGCCCTCGTCGAACCCGACGAGGGCGCTCAGCCCGTCTGTAGTCTCTCTTTGGGATGAACGAATTCTAATCTGCTCTGTAGACTCCGCCGGCTCAGAAGTTGCCCGCCTTGTATGTAGTCGATTCGATTGTCAAGAACGTAGGCACGCCCTACACTCTGTTCCTGGGTCGCAATCTGTATCAGACCTTCATGAACGCCTACACACTGGTCGATTCGCAGACGCGCAAGAAGTTGGATGAGATGCTCAAAACCTGGAAGGAGCCGGTGCCGGGTTCCCTCGACACCAGGCCCGTTTTCCCTCCAGAAATCACTCGCAGTATTGAGAGTGCTCTGATCAAAGCAAGGACTGCAGCGCTTCAGCAGCAGCAGGCTCGAACTCAACAAGACATCCTCGCTCGCGGTCGAGTTGGCACTCCTCCAGCGTGGAACAGCACTCCGACACCACCGCAAGGCATGGGCCGCCATCCACCTGCTGCAAACCAGGCTTTACCCATGCATTACCAGCGCAATGGCTCTGGTCACGGATATCCACCATCGGTAAGTATCATCTCACATTTTAGGACAGTGGCGGAAGGTCTCATTTGATTAGCAGGGTGAATCGTACTCTTCACGGGGGACCCCGACTCCCCAAGCCCAGCCACGTACAACAGAGGTTGATCTCGCGGCTCTCAACCGAGATATCGAGGCTCTTATTGCCACCGCCAGAAGCGATTTTGCCAACAATCCACTAGACCCCTCGATACAGCAACGACTGAAGGCTCTTTTGGATCTTCAAGGTATCTTGCAACGGCAAGAACTCACCCAGGAGCAATTGAGACTCGTCCGCGACCAGGTTTCAGCTCTCGCTCCGAAGCCTGCAATTCCGGCTCCTCAAGTTATTGCTCCAACTGTTCCGGCTGTTTCAACGCCCCCCATGGCTACTCCCCCGGCCCAAACACTTTCGCAACCTTTACAACAGCTCCTCAATCCTGGCACGCTTGCTGGGCTCCTCAAAGCTACTGCTACACGTCAGCAGCCGACTCCGCCGCCTCAAATCCACAATATCCTACCACAGATGCCCACTAATACCACCGCGCCGCAACCATCCGTCAGCGCCGCACCAGAGAATCCTCTCATTGCAGCCCTAAGAGCGCAGGGCTTACTTCCACCGGCCTCGGCGCCTCCGGCCGCATTCACCGCTGCTCCGCCACCAAATGTCGCGCCTGCTTTCCCACTAATCGTACCGGGTCAGGTGCGAGTCACGCCTCCCGTCGCGACGCCGCAGGCACAACAAGGTACATCGAATGCGCAAATAAACGTTCAAATGAGTACAGCGTCCATCAAGATGTGAGTTTCCTGTGTCATGCTACATTGGTTTTCCTATCACTAACATAATGAACCCCCAGCCCTCGACCAATGCTGCTCGCCAGCCTCTACGAGACCCGGTCAAACCGGTGTGGAACATGCGGTCAACGTTTCTTTGCAACGGAAGAAGGGAAGGAGAAGAAAGCTCGCCATTTGGATTGGCACTTCCGAACCAACCAGCGCATGTCTGAGGCAGCTAGGCGGGCCCAAAACCGCAGCTGGTACGTTGATGAACGGGTAAGTCACGCACCATTTCCAAACCAGTTATCCTGCAGTACTAACTATCTCCAGGATTGGATCAAATCCCGTGAGGCGGGTGATGAACAAGACCTTGCGGAGACGGAGGTCTCGGCTGAGGGTGTTGCTGGTGCTGACGGCGCTGCGACGAAGAAGGGGCCTCCTAAGCAGTGGATCCACGCCCCGAATGACGCGACCTTGCGAAACACCCCTTGCCCTATCTGCCAAGAGAAGTTTGAGTCGACATGGTCAGAGGATGTACAGGACTGGATCTGGCAGGACGCAGTCAAGGTGGGAAGTCGCGTGTACCACGCCAGTTGCTATGCCGAAGTGACCAAGGACGGACCTACGCCAGCCAACCGGGGGACGCCGTCAGGACGAACTGGGACTCCTGAGTCTGTTTTGGGCAAACGCAAGGCCGAGGTGAGTGTTTCATCAATGAGAGTTATGTAGAAATCTTTGTGACTAACACGTATTATAGGGAACCGATTCTCCTGGATCCAACGTACGGATCAAAACAGAGCCCGTGTGATCGGGGTGTACACTCCCTTCTCTCCCTTCTCTTCTTCTCCTACTCTTTGTTGATGATTCTCTGCTTTTGAGCGAAGATGCATCGTTCATTCAGCTTCATGGCTGTATTTTGCATGGGAAGGTTGAATGAATTCCCTTCCCCTGGGCGTTCCGGGGCAAGTGACGATGGTGATGGATCACAGGACACATACAGCACTCCCGGGCTCGCTGCCTTGTATATAGTATCCCATTGTAGAACCAGATGAAACAAATATCAGGTCATTCATATACATCTTGGATGTCTTTTTATGTGATTAATAACGTAGAACCACTATATATAGATACTAACCCCCCAGTCTTTATAGTCTCGGCGAATGACGTCGGCAAATGAAGCTGCCCCGCTCGGCGCAACTCCGCCCAAGCACAGCTAGAATTACTTTTATTCCTGACTTCCCCTCGACATCTGTCGAACATTCTTCAGAACCCGAGACATCCGTACGACTGTCCAGCACTGCTTAGCCTTGTTGATCCCTGTTCAGCATCCAAGAAAATCTCCAGTCCTCCATCTTCACAATGGCTCCCCACAATATCCGGTGGGGTATCATGGGTAGGGACCAATTTCCCCGCATTCAGACAAACAAACAAAAAGATCCCAGGCTAACGAACATGGATGGCATTGCGCCTCTACAGCTACGGGGTGGATCGCCGATGGTAAGCCCCTCCTCCAAAATCTCACAATCAGCAAATCTATCTAACATCAACACTGTAGTCTTCACCCGCGATCTCCTAAAAGACCCCAGCATCCGCAACGTCACCGACGTCTCTCACACCGTCGTGGCTGTAGCATCCTCCTCCAACGCCGCACGAGCAGAGAAATTCATCTCAGACACCGGCATCCCGTCCCCCTGTGCCGCCTATGGCTCCTATGAAGATCTCGTAGCCGACGCCAACGTCGACGTCGTCTACGTTGCAACTCCACACTCCCACCACTTTCAGAATGTCATGCTGGCTCTTAACGCCGGAAAGCATGTACTCTGCGAAAAGGCCTTCACCGTCAACGCGGCTCAAGCCAAGATCCTCTGCGAGACCGCCCAAAAGAAGAATCTCTTCCTCATGGAAGCTGTCTGGACTCGCTACTTCCCTCTCAGTATCCAGATCAGGGACTTGATCAAGCAGGGTGCTATTGGTGAGGTCTTGCGGGTGATCTCTGATAACAGTTTTGGAGACCCGGTCGAGGAGAGATGGGGTACGGAACACCGTATGGTTAATAAGGATTTGGCGGGTGGTTGTTTGTTGGATTGTATGTGGTGTCTATCTACCATTTCCCTCCTCCCCTGATTGATGACACCGACAATTGATAACTGACCATATTCGATCGCACAGTGGGAATCTACTCCCTGACCTGGGTCTTCCAGACCCTCTACCATACCCTCCCCCGGGAGCAACGTAAACCCCCCTCTGCCATTTCTGCCCACATGACCCTCTACCACCTAACCGGCGCCGATGAGGCCACTACCATCCTTTTGAGCTTCCCAACCAGCACCCCCTCCAATCTTCCTCACCCAGGCCAGTCGCAGGCTGTGGCCATGACGCATCTCCGCGTCTCCACTGATCCCGACGAGGCAAACACCGCCCGTCCGGCCATCCGGATCCAGGGTACGAAGGGTGAGATCCAGGTGGATGGGCCGGCGTTCCGGCCCGAGCGGTACCGTATCATCCCTGCCAAGGGGAACGGTGAGGTGAAGGAGGTTGAGTGCCCGTTCCCTGGCGATGGCAAGGGAATGTTCTGGGAGGCGGATGAGGTGGCGCGGTGCTTGAGAGACGGGAAGCTGGAGAGCGAGACTCTGCCATGGGAGGAGAGTATTGTGATTATGGAGGTGATGGATGAGGTCAGACGGCAGGGTGGGTTGACTTATCCGGAGAAGATCGAGTCGACTGTGTATCCTACGCAGCTGTAGATCTAGTAGTCATGTAATTCGGACGATAAAATCCGGAGTTTCAAGCTTCGTTCATTCGTGACAATCGACAGTATATATCGTTGGCCTGTATAAGCCAGTCCAAAAGATCAATAGCTACACGATCATGGCGGTTTACTTGTCGGAGGTTATTCGCATTCCGAAAATTACTACTATACAAAACCGAGATATCCCGCCGGAAGGCATGAGTCTATATAAGGACATGAGAAAGACAAATTCCATTCCCGGATAATGCAGGTCTTTCTTCTTTTCTGCCTTTCTTCGCCGGCCCGTGAGGGCAATCAAGAAAAGCCTCTCCCTCCGGGCAAAGACATAAGCACCGGAACGATGGGTATCACTAAGGTACATCACTCCGGCCTCAGAGGTGGACGTCCTCTGCCATTTAAAGGCATCTAGTTCTGGCGGAAAACACCGAGCAGGCTCTTCCAGACCTGGCCAGGCTCCTGGCTGGCGTCAATGCCGCGCCAGATACCGGTCTTCTTGTAGTACTCGACAACGGGAGCGGTCTGGGCGTGGTAGGTGCCGAGACGCTTCTTGAGGGTATCGGCGTTGTCGTCGGAACGCTGGATGAGGGGCTCGCCAGTAACGTCATCCTTCATCTCCTCCTTGGGGGGGTTGAAGATCTTGTGGTAGGAGCGACCAGAAGCCGGGTGAACGAGACGTCCGGTGATACGGGCCACCAGAAGGGCATCGTCAATCTGAAGCTCAACGGCGTGCTGGAGCTTCTGCTGGCGAGCGTTAAGCATGTCGTCCAGACGCTCAGCCTGGGCAACGGTACGAGGGAAACCATCCAAAATGAATCTAAAAAGAGGCGCGCGCCGTCAGCCAAAAGCAGAATCGCATAGGTATCAGGTTACCAACCCGTTCTTGCACTCGGAGTTGTTGTCAAGCTCGCTCTGGATCATGTTGACCATGATCTCATCGCTGACCAGACCACCCTGATCCATGATCTTCTTAGCCTCCTTGCCCAATGCGGTCTTCTTGGCGACCTGGGAGCGCAGCATGTCACCGGTGGCCTGCACAAGTGGAAATTGACATTAGCATCGGGCTCAAAAGCATTCTTACAACATCCCAGTGATTAACTTACCAAGTGGCAGACACAGTACTTCTCCTTCAGTCGGGGAGCCTGGGTACCCTTGCCTAGTTTGGAGAATCGGTCAGAATTCCGCAGGACGGAGAAGCAGGGAACGAGAGGATGCAGAAAGAGTTCCAAGGATTGTCAATGGAGAGCATACCGGCACCAGGAGGTCCCATAAGGATGATGCGCATCTGCTCAGCAACCGACTTAGGCTTGACCTGGTTGCTGAGGCGGCCCTCCAACTCCTCAACACGAGCCTCCAGCTTTCCGATAGTGTCCTTCAGGCCGTTGACGACCTCGTCCGTAATGGGAGCCATTGTGATGTGAAAGGAGGAGAGGAAAGAGAGAACGCTTCAAAAAAGTGTCCGGAAAGGGAACAGGAGGGGACGGAAGAGGGCAGAGAGGAGAGAGAAGTGGCAGGAATGAGGAAGAGATATCAACCAGACCGGGGAAAGGGAAGGGAACGGAGAAAGTGCATGTTGGGGGAGAAAAGAGGCCGACCGGAGGGAGTGGAGTCTCCCACCCGAGGTTCCTGCGCCCTGGGAAATTCGCCTCGACCGGCACCCTAGTCTTCGGGGTTCTGATCGGAGGTGTTTGGTAGATCCTCAATTGCCTTCAGAGGCGTCCATTGACCCGGAAGCAAATCTCTCATCTCCAACATGACGTCCTTTCTTTGAGCCAATCTCCACTGGTTTGAGCCTTGAAGAGTCCAACTTGGGACTAGTCCCGTAACACGTGTCCCGTATTTTATGCCTGAGGCAAAAAGGCACCAGCAACGTAGATATGTGGCTGGTGTTCAGGTGTCGAGGTGTCAATGTACACCCATTAGCCACTCAAATGTGGCTCAAGCACGGAGCTCCAGTGAATCCAGAGGCTCTCCGTTGATCCAACCAACAACAGCTTCCCTCTTCATCGTCATCGCTCCTCCTCCTCCTCCTTCATCTCCCCATCTTCATCCCCTTGCTTATCCCGCAACAATCCCTCCCACCCTCTTCTGACATACCCTTCATCCTCCCCTCTCAATCCTATCTCCACCGGTGACAGCTCGTCTCGCGTTCCTTCTGTCTCCGCCATGCCTGCCACCACGGCGGACGCCCTCTCCCTCGTTCAGCGCACCGTCACGGTCGCTCCTCTAGTTCTTCTCTCCGTCGCAGATCACTACGGCCGCTCGGCCAAGGGTACCCGGAAACGTGTGGTTGGTGTGCTGCTGGGTGAGAACTCGGGTCAGAATGTCCGGGTATCGAACAGCTTTGCGGGTGCGTCATTGACCTTCTATTACCTTCGATATCTCTTTCAGTGTCCACATGCTGACAGTTCCTCTCCCAGTGCCCTTCGAGGAGGATGAGAAGGATCCCTCTGTTTGGTTCCTAGATCACAACTTTGTCGAGTCGATGAGGGACATGTTCAAGAAAATCAATGCTCGTGAGAAGCTGGTTGGGTGGTATCACTCGGGCCCGAAGCTGCGGGCCTCGGATTTGGAAATCAACGAACTCTTCAAGCGCTACACACCGAACCCTCTGCTGGTGATTGTGGATGTCCAACCGAAGGAGGTTGGCGTTCCTACGGATGCTTACTTTGCCGTGGATGAGATCAAGGATGTGAGTAGCAATGCGCGCCATCGTGACAGGCCTCGTCTGTGGGATTTTTGAACTAATCATCACAATCTCTGTAATAGGATGGCACCACAACATCAAAGACCTTCGTCCACACCCCGTCTATAATCGAAGCCGAGGAAGCAGAGGAAATTGGAGTGGAGCACCTTCTCCGGGATATCAGGGATGTCGCTGTCGGAACCCTCTCTACCCGCATAACGTCGCAGCTTCAGTCGCTGCAGGGCCTGCACCTGCGTTTGCGCGACATCGGCCAATACCTGCAGAAGGTTCTTGACCACGAACTCCCCGTCAACCACGCCATTCTGGGCAATCTCCAGGACGTCTTCAACCTCCTCCCCAACCTTACCACACCAGCCGCCACGCCGCGCATCAGTGGCGCCCCCGAACAGCCATCGGAGAACAGCGAACTCGCACGGGCCATGAGCATCAAGACCAACGATCAATTAATGGCGATCTACTTGAGTAGCTTGATCCGCGCCATCACCGCATTCCACGACTTGATCGAGAACAAGATCCAGAACCGGCAGCAACAAGAAGAGAATGAGCTGAAGAGGGAGCAAGAGGCCAACGCGGCCAAGACTGAGAAGGAGGCCGCGAAGAAGGCCAACAGCACCGCCAATGGAGAGCAGAAGGAGGGTCAAGACAAGGAGAAGGCCAAGAAGAGCCAGAAGGAGTAGACGGGTCAGGGACTCTATGCGATACGATCATCTAGAACAATGCAGTCCATCGAATGTATATTACGGTAATCTCTACGCGGCCGATTGCGACCTCGGGGGCATCTGCTTGTTATAGGCCAGCAACGATGCTGCTATATCTGTATTGGTAGGATATATCCTCGGAGCAGCACTTGCGTGAGGTATTGTCGAGGATGAACTTATGGAATCGCAAGCTCTCAAAGCTTTCATAGTGGACTCCACAGTTTTGGAGCCGTTCACAAGCGGCACAGTAATAGTAGTCTTTGTAGACCGGCACGTATCCAACAGACGATCATCCCACTGCCCTGCACACGTCATGCCATAGTGTTGCTGGGTCATCTTCCACGTAATGGCTCCCAGCCATCATGACTCAGGTCTCAATAACATCGAGGCCCCTCCACCACGATCCTCAATGGGACCTAAATCAATGAGACAATGAGTAGTGTGCCACTCCTCAGTAAATAGAGACAAAGCATACCATGCATGTACTCCACCCAGAACAAGGACAAAGAACAAATACCCAAGAATAGCTTTCAAATCCCTTCACCGACTTTGAAACATACAACGAACAAAGCAAGCCTAGAGCCTTCATCATCCACCCCACCCAGCACACCAGCCCGCCAATTCCTCCGCACTGACAATGGAAACAGACCTCCCTTCTCCGCCCCCAAAAAGACCCGGACACCGCACGGCCAGGCAACAGGCCAGAAGGTGCTTGCACACGGGGGGAGAGGAGCGAGTGGAGTTCCTAGTTAACGAACCCCCGAACGGATAGTGGTTGTCCTTTGTTAGGGATAGGCTATCGTGACCAGTGGTGGAGGATGAATCCTCTTCGGATTCATCGGGTCCTGAGTCTCGAAATGCATTCAGGGTAAAAGTAGGACAAGTGCAGTTCCAGGCCTTTAGGCGGACTTCGTAGCCTTTTGGGTCTGGTTCTTTGGTGTGATATAATGAGGTTGAAGTTGAGGTTGAGAATGGGTCGCTTTGATCGGAGGAAATGGTAGATGCTGAGCGGACATAAAAATAATCAGGTATGTCTTTGGTGGTAGCATTTATTGCTGAAGAATGATGGTGGGTTATGGGGTGAGATGTTTGATTGCTGGTGTTGGTGTCGTCGCATATGAACCGGTTCACCAAATTCCGATCCAAGATGTCCAGAGCGAGGAGAAGCTCATTTGGAAAGATGCAGTGGAGTGTTAACATTGTTGCCTTGACTTCTGCCATTTGAGATGGAGGGAGAGTAGAGAAGGGTGTGCGGTGGTGTCGGGCTGGTGGTTGATGCCGGTGGTCATGATTACTGTCTACGGGCGGGACGGTGAAGGTGGAGAGGTGGGAGATCAATTGATCGATAAATTGGGCAGTTGAAAGAATTGTTTGGGAGGGGAGTTGATGGTCTGACTGGTTTTGAGACGCCATTGGGGAAAGTGTAGCTGGAGATGAAAAGTGTAAGATAGTTCTGGATAGTAGAAAAGGGCACGGGAAGGTTACAACCCGATCCGTTAGGGAACTTCGCTGTCCTCGATAAAAGGTCGCATGTTACTAGTATCTCACAAGTATGATATCAATAGAATCTGAAAATTTAAATGGTGACAATTAATGGAAAACCCAGCGTAGGCATTGTTGAATCCATCAAATTTCGAATTGGTCCGAACGCGACAGGACGCTAAGCTAAAGTACTATGGAAGCATTGCATTGAGATATCCGCACACTAGAAAGAATATATAATCGAACAACACAACTACCATCTCAATCACCACATGACTTCCAGCAGATTCAAGTCCAATTTATGAAGCGCCTTTCTTAAGAGAGGCAGCTCCCCCTCCCCCTAAGCGGATCGAGACCGCTTCTGGCTACTGGCTTTTGTAATTCTCCCAGAGATAACCCTATCTTGCGCACTTCCCGAAGGTCTTGCTGACCCGTTGTCTTCCCTGCGGACCCTGAGTTGTGTTTGTGTTCCAATGTCTCGTACAGGTGTGTCCGGCCGTGGTCCAGCGTCATATGGCTCGGGTGTAATATCTGGCTTGAGGGGAATGATAGCTCGCCCTGTGAGGACCTCTCTCGTCTTTCGGCAGACAAGTCTAAGCCTGACCTCGGCATGTTGAACCTTTTTCCCCGGTTTCAGCCAGACAAGGGGCCCATCTCCCTCAGGTATGACCAGCTGGTCGTCGACTGTCCATTTCAATCTTCGTCCCTTTAGGTGAATGAATTGTTCCAGGCATACAGCATTATGAGGCGCGATGCTCATCGAACCTGGGCCAGGTTCTGGGGAAGAGCCCCTTGGAGAGCCTGCATCCGGGCCGCCATGGCATCCAAGGTTGCTGGGCGGTTCATCGTTGTCAGTTGCTTGCATGACCGAAGCCTGATCTTCCTCCCAGACCCCTGATCCAAGATCTAATGGCCTCTCGAGAGGCACACGGTGGTAGACCGCCCAACAGACGCGATCATGGTAGGAAGGCTTGAATCTTTTGTGGTTATCCACACCAAAATCCAGACAATATTCCAGCGATCCATAAGTATTGGTTTCCATGTCGTTTTGATGTGCCCACTTATTATCTGGTCCCATGACAGCACAGGTGTAATGACCCATCTGAATGTCCGTCTCATGTGGCTCATGGAATACTATCCCAAAAAGCTCATAACGAGCGCAGCCTTCAATTTTCACTGTATCACTCAATAAGCCAGGTGGGAGTTCTATGTCTTTTTGAAGCCAGACTGGAACCCTAATTCTCCTGGGCTCATTCGTGATTTTGTCGTATTTCATTCTGGGAAATTGAACAAGAAGAACTTCAGGAAGGTATAAAGCCTTCTCAGACATAATATGGTCTGTCTCTTGCCTGCACTTGCCACACTTTCCCTTCGAGTGCTCTGGCTTGTCTAGCAGTCCTTCCTCGATGTTTGCGTACCCGGGCATATTTTCATCCTCAGGAGCATACACCATGAAGAATTTTTCATCAGGCCGATTCTTTGATCTCCCGCATTTGCAGCACTTGTCGTTCCTGCTCACTCGAGTCTTGAAGATACCGTTTAGTTCGCGGCGGCTATATTCAAGTTAGTATCGGGAGTGTGGCGTACATATGAAGAAAGAACCTTACCCCTGTTCATCTACCTCTACAAGTAGCTGTTGGAATATGCTTTCCATAAAATCACGCGCATCCTGCTGCCCTTCGGTATAACCCTTCCAGGAGGTCTTTGCAAGTATTTTCCACAACGGTTTCAGGCATCTCTGCAATCTCTGCGTTCCATCATCCTTTTCGACCCAATATAGATAATAAAGACGATAGAGACAACAAGTCAAGCACTTCTGCAGTTTTGGAGTACACGCTTCGTGGGTTTTGCGATATTTTATAAGCCATTTCAGAAAGATAGGCGTATTCATAAGTACAACAAGCACCACGTTCCGGTAGCATAAAGTACCTGGATTTTTGAATCCCCTGACTTTCTCCCGACTGAATCCCAGAGGGGCCCAGCCAGAGGTAATAAGGTCATCCTGCCGGACAGTTAGTCAAGTAATCTTTGGCTAGCTCGGCCATCCATGAGTACATACCGATTCTGGTGACTGTGACAGCCGTCGATGTGGTAGTTCCGGTTCCGGTTTTGGCTCGGTCATATCTTGGACTATCAATATCTTTCGTTCCTTGACCAGCGAATAGTAAATATAAAGACAGCTGTATGAGTGTATAGCTCGAGAGTAGACGAACTTAGCAGGATGGAAAGGCGTTCTGTATCATGATCAAGGGGTATGCCCGCAAAGGAGAGTGCTGCTCGCTTTATGTCTGAAAACCACATAGCGACAAGGTGGGAATGGAAGAAAATGCATTATCTCGTTTGCACTTGGTGCAGGGATCTCTTCACCCTCTGATCTCTTTGAACTGCTTAAACCGAGACAGCCTTGCGCGGTATTCAATGAACGGTGCCGTGTGGTCATTGGTTTCCGATGACAGCATTGCTATTGACTCAAAAGTAAACATAGAGATTCAAATATATGATCTTATATATAGGCTTTGTTTGATAATGCTATCCAGACACTGTAGCCCGTGTTGAATACAGAGAAACAAAGGACCATACAGCTTTGCAGCGGTCATTGTCGACCACCTCTATAATGGCCAGGTCTCTCAGAATAGAAAATTAGGATGCCTAAACAAAGAAAAATCAAGGTTCCTATAGTGACTGTTCTTCTGGAGTCCATCAGTGTTCCGCATCCTGTTTGTTCGAACTAGTGGGTGGTATAGTCCAAAGCGATGTAGGCCCGAGGACTTGGGGAACGTTGTACCCATGCATAAGGATCTGAGCAGAAAGAGGCCCCAACATATCTATCAAGAGCTCAATTGAAGTTTCCGGGTCCTTGATTTCCTATTCAGTACTGCATAGTAGACAATAGAGTCACATGATCAAAACCAAGATGTCACATGTTAATATCACTCTGCGACTCTTGCTTCCTTTATCACCACACATCCAATGCCCATGTGACGTGTCCAGCTATTATAGGACATCGGATACTGTTTTCCTTATTCTACCAGCAGCTGCTCACTCAAGAGTTGTACGGAGCGATTCAGCGCAGGGACTGGGTCCCGATTACGGAGTACTTGCATCCTAGTATCCTGTATGGCCTTTGCAATGACGTCCTGAGAGACTCCCGACGGCCGAGATCGAGTGGGGTTTAACCCAAGTTCTGGCCGGCTGCCAGACCACCCGCGCGGAAATGAGAATTCCAGATTTGACCAGTCAGGTACACCCTGGCCCGGTCCGGCAGACATATCCATAGTACCCAGCCCTGGTACTTGCGACAAGGACTACAGGTTTCCGGCCAGTCCAGCCTGGGTAGATTACCCTAGTGGTTCTACGGAGGTAGCGAACGATGACGGGGCTGGCGCTCTCCACGACAAATGAGATGGACGTGAGCTCTAAGAGTTGTCTCGAACACGGGAAGTTTCGAACAGGATTATTGCAGCGGGATACGGCACCTGGCCGTTCAACGGTTGTGTCAGTGTCAATGGTTCAGTATGTAGGCAAGTAGTGAGGGAATGGGCCATGATGACGGGTATCCGTTGGACTTAGTTCACCACTGGTTGTTAGGAGAGGCCGCCCAGCTATGATGGTCAAACCGTCCATGTCACACGAGCCCGTTGCCAGTGTGCTTCTACTGTGTCCGTTTGGTCCTTCATGTGTGTTTTGGGAGGATCCGATTCGATCCGCTTTCCTGCTCATGTATGTCAATAAAGCGGCAGGGATGAAGGGTTATCTGAAACACTTAACATGATCATTGTATAGTACAAGTTAAGTTACTATTCGCTCCCTCATCAGCCGCTTTCCCTCCGTCATCCTCTCCCCCTCCAGTCCAAAGTGATACGTTCAATCTACCACCAAACCAACCCATAGCCGAACACAACCAGGATGGAGAAGAGAACTTGACGCGAAACCAGAAAAAAAAAGTTAAATCTCCTTCGAGTCTAGACCACCCGTACTTCACCGATGAACTGGTTCTTGCTAGTCCAGTAGTGTCCGGAAAGTATGCATCACAATATTAATTCCCCTCCCCCCTCTTTCCCTAAGTAATAAAGTATACTCTCCCATTGTTCTGTCCTTCCTCGATCGCGACCCAAAAACCTTCTAATTACTAGATCATGGATACTAAAGTAGACTTAACTTTGGTCGAACAGACAATAAGACTCCTCTCTCAACCAAGATACCCACGACTAGATAAATTAAATCATTTCTAGACGCGTGGTAATTTCCTACCTTTCCCCACAACCCGGCCTCGGTTTTGGTTTCATCTGGTCATCAAGTGGAGCGGAATTAATTTACCACCCAAACAAATTGGCCTTTCCTACCGACAGCCCGGGCGGACCCCTTCAAACCAAACCACCCCTCTTCTTTCTCTCTCACACTACTACGTAGTACTCCTCTCCCCCTCTTCGTTTTCTTCACCATCGTCAGCTAGATAGATACTGGACTCGAACTAGAACTAGACCAGCATCATATATTGATTACACCGGGACGAGCTTTAATTAATCTCACGCCTCAAGTCAATCTCTATCGGCTATCTCACCACAAAACTTTCCGTTGGGTCGGTCCTCTCTCTCTCTCTCTCTCTCTGTTCTAGTTTAGTCTAGTCAAGTCCTTCGACTTTCTTTCCTTCTGACCGACCACATGGTCTGATTCGGGAGAGAGAATGATAGACAAACATACACAGAGAAAGGTAAGTAAGAGAGCTGAGACCCAGTCCAGGAGCGTCGCAATTCCAGAAAGACAGAGGGGCCATTCTATCCTTGCTTCTAACCCAAAACCTTCCATTTTACATTTTACATTCACAAAGTAAATAATGTAACCACTTACTTCACACCATTCTCGCTCTCGCTCTCTGTCTCCCTCCCGTGTGAAATGGATGGTTAGCGAACCTTTGACCCATCGGGCCATACTCCTCCGTAGCAATCAAAGTCCAACTACGAAGGAAGTTGTTAGATAACTGTTTAAACCTGCATCTAATCTGTGACGAACCATGGTTTCCTGCAGATTAACCAAGTCGGAAAACCCTTACTTGAAAATTATAAAAAAGAAAAAAGAACGCAAAAGTGGATGATGGATTCGGACGGAGTACCTCAATCGCGGAATTGCGTTCTCTCTTGTGAGTGACCTGTCTGCCAAAATCTCCATAGGTAGCTAAAGAAAGTAACTAACGGAGTTCTCCGTAGGTCGGGTTCGGTTTGGTTCGGTTTTCTTATTTTTTTTTTTCCTTATTTTTTTACTTTACGTTAGCTCTCCATTCAACATTAATATTATCCAGGTAGCTGGGACGGCGCTGCCAGTAGAAAGATAGTACCAGTGCCGGGTTTTGCTCGGTGGGTTTTTTGCCCTAGTTATTTAGTTAATGACTTAGTGGTTAGCTTTCTTTCTACTCCATATACATCTAACTAGTGGGTAGATACTTACTTTGCCTTGGGTTTGTTCAATTGCCATTGAAGGTAATGATTATTGGCTTGTGCTGTCGAGGCAGAAGGTAGGAAGACTTACTGCGCAAGTAGTTAGGTATCTCCAGTAGTAGTATAGTATGTATGCATAAAGGTAGGTTCGTTTGTTCGTGTTCAGCTGTGAGTGATCAGCTGAAGGGGAGGGGTAGGATACAGTTGGTGGTAGATAGGTCCCACCATCAATTCCTTCCTGCAGGTCAGTAACTAAACTGACTGACCAACTACGCACAGTAGATGCAGATGCAGAGACCGGCAATTGAGAACAGGTCATACAAAGTACCGCATAAAAAATAAGAAATCATAGAAAGGGAAGGAAGGGAGGGGGGTGATCGAAAAAAGAAAGATACTCTCAAAATTCGGGCCTACAGAATATGGAGTATACAAAACAAGCAAATACCCAGAGGGAAGGGGGCGAAAAAGAAAAAAAACAAACCAGAAATGAAAAGACATGGAAGCAAGGCAACGAACAGGAGATGGGAAGGAAGAAAAATACATGGATAATTCTTCCATGGACTTTGTTTGGGTCTTGTTTAGTCTACCTTGGGAAGGTGACAGCTGAGTTCCTTTGCCAGCATCCACATAAACCCACTTTCGAGGGTTGAACGTGAGATAAAGCTCCCTAAATCACTTACTGACTACCTAATCATCTTACAGAGGGATAATTGCGGAGTCGGAAAGCCACACACTATACATCACACAATGCGAGTATCAGCACTCGTCGGAACGGAGGCTCGCCCTTTTTTGAAGCTGGGCTATATCTGAGCTACCATGGCCTTTGGAATGATGAATACGTACTAATACCACTAGTTACTACCGTAGCAAATGGGCACCTAATCAAAAGGAATCAATTCATTCTGGTAGTACAGCGTAATGCTGTAGATACCGGAGTAGAATTGGGATACCTGCAAGCTCCCTCCAAAGTTCGCATCTTGATGCCAACAAAGTACCTGCTTCGGTGGCAGCCAATTCTAGGCCTCCAGTTGACTCGGAGATCCACTCAGGTTGGGCAGCGCCGAGCGAGTATCAAGCGTTCTACTCCAGGCTCCATAGCCACGGGACCACCTTTCAGCTTTGCCACGAAGCGGTGATCCAATGCCCGTTTCGATTTGTCTTCCAGCCCAATGCAAGCCTTCCGACGTCTGATTTGTAGACTGAAACCTATCCGTTGTTCTGTTTCCTCTCCCGGCAGCATACTTGCCCACGGATTTCCCGGTAACATACTCTCTATCTAAATTGTTGGGCCACGCCAAAATCCTAGTATCGATTACTACCACCCTGGCCCTGCCTACCCCACGGGCACAGACCATGCGATTGAAACTTTGGGAGTATCTTCAGGAAGGGATAAGGCTGCCTGGACATGGATAGAGTTGGGTTACTAGTATCGACTATCAAGATTATCGGTCACTCTGGCTAGCTGAGTTAAAAAAGTATCATACCACCAAGGAGGGATGGGTAGGCTAGAATGATCAGAACAATTCCCCAAAATGAAACAAGCACCACAAGACAAGTCCGATGATGATTTCCCAGTTTCAGCCATAGCCGAGTCTTGGCATCTAGATCACGGCATTGCAGTTATTTCTATCTGGCAGATGGGCCGAGGAGATGTATAGGAAATAAACCGCGGAAAGGAAAGGGGGACAAGTAGATAAGGCCCCCGAAGCGGTAGAACCGAACCCTCAAGTCATGACACACGGACATGAGGATGCGACCATGGGTGTGTGGGGGGAAGAGAAGAGAGGGCCCTCTTTGAGGTCGTCGGACATTTTCCTGCGACGATCACTGCGAGCCAGGAATAGATAGAGCAATGGAATCCTTGCCCGACTCCACTGGCGTTGGTCCAATGACGGCTGTCAACCACCCTCGAAGCCGTTTGGACTTTCTGGTCAACGTCGCTAACAGACGTACTTACTGCGCTCTAGACTGGAGAACGATCCGTCTCCTTCCCAAGAAAGACATGTAGCCCCGTCGACGGCTCAAAGTGCCCAGCGGGTCGGAGTGTGACCGCCTTAACCAGATGTCCACTTCAGTGAGCTCTTGTTCAAAGCTACTAAGCACTGGTTGAGTACCGAGTATGCTCAGATGCGGTAAATATGGAGATGAGTGAGCTTCCCGAACCCTCAATGGGATGCTGATAGACAGTTGAACCCCCTCCCAATGCTAGCGGCTGGGGACTGATCTGCTTGTTGTACAACAAGCTTCAACAGTTTACAGCTGGTTTGACCGAAGTGCAAGAGACATGGAGTGGGAAAAGAAAAAAAAAATGAATGAATAAATGAATTGTTTTACAAGCTTCATGCGCGTGTAACTCCGAACTTGCCTTGAACACGAGGGGAGGGGCGATAGACCGCAACAAGTCGAGGTCTCCTTCAACCAACCGGATGTGGAGGCTGATCTTGCCATCTGGCCACCCGTTACGCAGTGGAAGACTTGAGTACTCCGTACTAGCACTACTACTAGCAGCAGAGACTATAGTACTTTTTGCTGGGCCCCTAAGTACTAGTCAACTATCATAAGGGGTGATGGTTATGATGATCGGCTGGAAAGCACTTAGTCTGGCCACAATCGGGATTTGGATCATGTTCGTTCGGGCCCTAGACTCGACTCAGCAAGCAGCAGCTTGACGCGTTTCGACAAGAGGAGAACATTGTACTAGATGCACGAAGAGTTCTAGACCAACGGCAGAGCATAACCCACAGTTGTTTACGCTATACTTAGTGTTTCGCCTGGTATAGACGGTGGCATCATCATCGTCATTGGGCAATATTGTTGGAGGACAAATCCAAGAGAATGATGAAAGAATGAGTGAAAGCAGAGTGTCTGTCGCTAAAAGTCAAGATCAATCGACAGAAGAGCAAAAAAGGCCTCATAGAGAGGTCGCCATGATAGTGATGATGATGATGATGATAATGATGATGTTTATCGATCGGGTCAAAGCTGAATGTGTTACAGTAACATGGCTCGCGTCACGAAGGGACCCATGTTTGCGTCGTTCAGACCCATGAATTCTCCGAATGGATCTATCCGGCGGTGACTTACCGCCTCTGGTTCCATGGTAGGTGGACTGCATCTTCTGCGTCACCCTGGATGCCATTGTGTGTTCATGAATTGCTCGTTCGCCAAAACTATAATTGGTAAATTCGCAGCCTGTTTCCCATGGTTTGTCGGTAGAGTCGCACCGAGTTGGCTAGAAAATCAGGAAAGCGGAAGAACAGCCATTGGCAAGTGTAATCAATTCAAGGCAACGCAAATTGAAAGCTACTTTGCACATGAAGTTACTACACAGGATGGTAAAATGGTACATGGATACTTTTTAGGTAGGTAGGGTACGCAGCTACCTACGATGCGAATTGCGTTGCCACATCGAGTTGTACGTAATGCCCATTGGAGTTTTTACTAGACAATGGCTTGATTACCGGTGAGCTAGATACCAATTAACTATAATCACTATTTTACTACAAGTAGTAGTAAACACTCAACGCAGAACAGAGCCAGTTTGAAGGGGAATGGAGATTATTGGAGCATAGAGGGGAGGAAGGAGGAGGGGAAAGTAGAGAGGAGGAGGGGGCCCAAAATGGGACTACTAGTACTTCTAAGAGTATAGTACACAACTAACTACAGTTAGGCTAAAGAAGCCTCGTAGCGAGTATCCGCCCCTTCACCCCTCTCCCAATAAGGCCCATCAGTGCGAGAGAGAGAGAGAGAGAGCTTCGAAATCAAGCCTCGCGCCCTGCGACCGCCAGTGCGTTTGCCATGTCACTGAGTAATGGAACGGACTAAGCTGGCGTTGTCGGTCCCACTTAGCCTGTCAACACGGGGCCCAAGCTGGTGCTGATTGGGCATGGATGGCCTCTGGTGCCTCCGCCACTCTCGTCGGAAGAATGCTATTAAGGCAAGCCACCGTTTGACCCGTCTCCACTGGTCCCTAGGTAATCTTGCAGGCTTGCAGCTGCGCGGGAAACCCCTTGTTCCCGCTGGCCCCGTCGTTCGATGTCCAGCTGTGATCCAGGTTCTCCGCAGCCCTCCCTCTTTTTTACCCAAACATACCCATTGTTACCCTCTGTTTCCCTGAACCAGAAGATGGTTCTCTGTTAATTATACCTTTGAAAAGGGAATGCTTTACTTATCTACTTAGTAGTATGTAGGTAGCAGTGAGCTCTTACTTAGGACTGGTAGGTGACGGGAGTTTAGAATAAGATAGCATAATAAGCCAGTCAAAAAGAGATGAGAGACGAACGGCACATCGCCCTCGTCCCCTCCTCCCGAAATCACAAGTGTGAAGGACCTACTGTGTTGAAGACGATGTGAATGGAACATTGACCCATCAATCTTTGCCATAGGGATACATAGTACCAGAGACAAGCGCAGAGAGAAAAGAGACCGACGCGTCTTTGGCGGCAATCAGTTCGGTTTAGCGAGTCTGGAAGCACGCCGTACCAGCACTTTTGTGGTTCCAGCCCAAACGATCAACAGTTCCTAATTAAATGGGAGCCATCGAGACCCGGAGATCGCGAAATCTCAACCGTCATGGGTGAGGGTTTATCGGGACGGTAATCAAAACCTATGACCCCATAGTATCTGCCACAGGAATAGAACTCGAAGAGCCACAGCGGACTTTGCAACCAGGCAATAATTTGTCGCCAACCGAGATTTTCGGTAACGAGCACTAGATTTTGAGAGGTAGAAAAAAAAAAAAAATAAAACAAGACGAAATAGAAGGTCGTATATACTGTACACTATAGTGAGCTATGGTACCACCTGTTCTTTTATGGCACCATGGCGCCCCTCCTTTAGCAAGCAATAGACTCGAGGTGATGGTACCAATATCATAGCGATCCAAATCAAATCTCATACGAATGTTCTTCTTGTTTGAAGAAAGGAAAAGGACCAAAAAACAAATTTGCCAACATTAGGGTTCTTGTGTTTCATGCATCTAAGACCCGGAAGAAACAAATGCAAAAGCCTGAATGGCTCGTCTTAATTGTACCAGCTGATTGGGCGGGGGAATCTTTGCGTTCTTGTTATTACTACTACTGTACTTTGTTAGTAGTATTGACAAGATACCCATATCACTTTCTGCTTGTAACAGGGCCATTGACATGTTGACTGATGGGTTCGGAGAATAAGTGCGTCAGACCCGACAGGGATAAGGTAGAAACCTTGCCTGCACATGCTTTTGGGAGATGGGGGAGATGGAAAGACAAAACAAGAAAAAGCAAAAACAGGGAAAGGCAAGAAAATCAAAGAATAACTGAAATTCAGCAGAAAAGCAAAGACCGTTCTCCAATCTCTGCTAGCCTGACGGAATAGGTAAATGGACACTAAAGACAACCTTAGAACGCACCTAGCTACAAAGTAGGAACAGAGAAGCGAAGCTTCATATTACCACTTAGAACATTAAGGGAACAGAAAAGCCCACTTACGAGAGATGAACCCGCGTTGATCCACCAGTGCAGGCTCGGCAGAGAACCATTTGCCGCCTTGTCACCTGATTGACAGCACCACGAGTGGATGTATCACTTTTGCCTTTCACTCCCTTGCTGAAGCTGCCAGATCCCATAGGGACGGATCTCATCACTACAAAATACTCACTCATAATCTTACTTACTTCCCACTCTCATCTGAACTGATAAAAGAAAGGCAAGGCTGTGAGGCAGCCAAATGACTCAATCTAAATTGGTCACAACATGGACGCTCAGACTTACCCGAAGAACGGGAAAGATATTCATCATGAATGGGACTATGCTGACGTTTGGACCGATAAGGCCAGTCAATTAAGGCATGAAGTGCAGAAAGGTGGACGAGGCGAACTGGTGCTAAAAGACCCCGGATCCTAGTTAGCGCCTAGCTAGCGATATTACCTAGGACGATACTTGCCGTTCCAGGCTTGGGGTTCGTTCGCCGTTGACAGATCCATCCAGACGGTCTGGGACTAATTGGCTGGAGCAACCCATGGCCGTTGGGCCTCGGAAATTTAATTAGATTGAGCGGCGCCCAATCAAAAATACCATGAAGAAAACCGGAAATTCCACAAAAAGGATAAATAAAATAAAAGGGAAAAATAACAGTAATTTGAAACAAATTGGAATACATAAGTAACAAAATATTGGGAGAACACGGGAAGCGAGTAAATGAGCTTTATACTATGGTCCTTCTCTGGAAAGCACTGAATTTCTTACCATCTGTTAGCATTAGTTTTGGCTCCCTAAAGAGTAATAATGACAGAAAGTCAGCCGATTCCTTCCCGTCCTTTTCCAAGTCAACGTAAAAAGTACATCCCCTCTCCCTTTTCGCCGTTTCGGCCGACGGGTGGTGGTTCAAAGCCTCCTCTGGGGACTTGACGCCGTCGTCGTTACGCATGCTCCCCATTATCGGCCGTTTTCGCCCTCTGGTTGGAGCTTCTAAGACCATTCCACTTCCCGGCTTAGGGCGGTGGTCTTCTCCACAGAGAGGAACCATGCTCCTCAACCGTCTAATGAGATTATTTCCTCCTAATTTTTGTTCAAGACAATTACCCTAACTAACCTTCGGGTCCTATACCGGGGTTCCCGGTTGTTCAAGGCCAAGTGAAAAACAACTCCCCACCACCTACATTACCCACTATTATTACCCACCTGTGGCTTAGACACTTGCTGCTCACTGCCCTTTCCTTCTCTAGCAATACCAATGCTGCCCCTCCTGAGGGCTACCGAACAGTGTGCTATGCATATACTCCGTACGCAACTTCCTCTTCCCTCCCACACCCACATAAAGCACCTAAAAAGCACCCCAAATGAACCAACCAAGTTCGAGTTAGGATCAGTAGGAAAGTTTGAAGATAATGCGGTCTTAATTAAGATGCAGCACAAGACATTTTCGATTGTTCTGCCCTTTATGCGTATGCCAGGAAGAGTTCCATCGTACAACTCACAAAAACACTTTTCTGGTATAAAAAAACACAGACAAGACATCTATGTACCAATACTACTATCTATACTTCGAAAGGACCAACCTACCTACACCCGGAGTGCACACGATAACGCACCTGAATAGAGCATCGTCGTATGTTATTATCGACTGTGTGTCTCCATCCTGTTCACAGCATTAATATCACTCTTATTATCCATTTATATTTTGTACCTTTTTTTTTCTCTATCAGTACGTTTATGGTCATGACGACGATGATGTTGACGATTATCATCATGGCCGACCTAAAAGGGACTCGCGTCCCAGCTTGAGCTTTTCTTGGGTAAGTTCGGAGCAGACAGTCAACAAGTCTTGGTAGGAGGTGGGCAGGTACCTTAGGTAAGGCTAGGACGGAGTTGATTGTATCCATCCTGTTTCGCCAGCCAACTCACCAACCAACCAACCGAGTCATTAACATGACCGAGTCTGGGCTCGAACGTTCTTCCGGAGAGGTTTGACCGCCAGTAAGGCCCTTCCCGTCAAGTATAGTACCCGGGTGTGGAACCGTTTTGATAATCATCGCCGCGTTGATAATAGTATTTTATTATTATTTTGGTTAAGCCCAGTGCCGTTTTGATTCTTGCTCTGAATGGGGAGGAGGGGGTGGGATTATTGTTGGGGGAAAGATGAATCTCATCATTTCATTATCATGATGATGATCAGTGTTGATTTATTTTATTGTCTTTTCTTCTTCCTTTTCCCTTCTTTTCCTTATTTTCTCCTTATTTACTTTGTTATGCGCCCACAGACAGTACTCTAAGCCAATGTACCAAATAGATAAATAGATTACTTTTAGATCCCACTAATGGAAGCACCGCAGTATCTGACACTCTTCCGTTGTGACTTGACGGCTGGGCGTGGACCTTAATCCTATCTGTCTGACTTACTATTGGATTAAAAGGCAGTGAGTGAGGAGGAGAGGAGGAAGAGGAGAAGGTGGAGGGGAGTATTAACGGCTTTCCCTCGAGGGGCAAATGAGATTGAGACAGAACAGGAAAACGGAATAGGATAGGAAGAAGGGGAGGGGGAAGGGTAAAGAGAAGAAAAAAAAAAAAAAAAAAAAAAAAAAAAAAAAAAAAAAGGGAAAAAAAGAAAAAAGAAAAAAAAAATAAAATGAAATAAAATTAATCGAAAATAATAACGACCGCTAACTAATGATCTCTAGTAATAATGTTTATTTATTAAACGGTTTCTCGAACCCACTGGCCCTGGCCTCGCCTCTTCGTTAGCTTCCTTTTCCCTCCCCATAGCAGCAATATTACTGCTGAGCTTCTTATTTGCTGCGCCAACCAGCTGTCAACGGTCCCCGATGATCTCTCTTCTTATGCATCTTCAGACGTTTCATCTGTCTTGTCTGGCCCTTTCTCCCTTTCCCTGACTCTCTTTTCCTTCCCGTCTTCTACTTCTTTACCTCTTCTTCTTCTTCCATTTACCCTCGTTGACTATTCCACCCTGTTTGACTCTTGCTTATACTTAACTGGTGCCCACTGCTACCTCTAGTACATTCTTCACTGTTCAGACATACTATATTTTGATCCCTACTATATCTCGCTCGATTTCAGCTTGACGCTATCGCCTCGACACCTATCGGACATATCAACTTTCTCTCCGACCTGAAGGCCCCGTCATTATATATGACAGTCGCCAGACGAATACTCTTGTCTGCATTATCGCTTTGCTTTCCATCCATTTCCTCCTCGCACACCCACTATAACAGTCTCGGAGTTTAACTGGCGGCCTCTCTTATTTTACCTTATCGACACTGCCGCAGTGCCACCAGTACACTCGCCACTAGCTAGTGGAGTTTTTTTGCCGGGAAAACAGAAGAATATCCAACAAGGGCACTAATTCATCTCACTGGTTGGGACGTCTTTGGTAACCCAGGCTATCTCTCTCCCTAATTTCGGTTGATATATTCTTGATCTCTTTCATCTTCTCCTTATCCTACAACTTCTTCCCCTCCCCCAGTTCGTTTCACCTCTGCATCTAGTTGGGTTGGGCTTCTGAGCTATCATTTTCTATATATCTTGGCATATGGTGCTCTTTGCTATACATATCTTTACTTGAGAAAGGAATTTTCCGCTGCGAACCGCGCATATGATTGCGTTACAAAATCACGCTATCTTGCCTCCTCCCGCCAAAGTGGATATCTCACTGCTGCTGAAGCCTCAGGATGAAGAGGAAGCCGCCTCGGTGACTACAGCGCCTAGCTACCCACCCAGCGCAATCCCACCACCCTCGGTGGCACCGACGTTGCCAGTGGCTGCCCCAGCGTCGTTGTCCTCGGTCCCTCCAGTGCCCCAGCTTACGTCCAAGATCCCGGCTACGGTGCCTGCCAAGCGCCTTCAACCTGCCCACACAGCAGAGTCACCGGCTAAAAAGCAATCCAAGTGGTCCCCGGAGGAAGATGCCCTGATCATTGAGCTACGAGGGAGTGGCATGAAATGGGAGGATATTAGCAAACGGCTTCCTGGCCGAAGTGCCATCAGTTGCCGTCTACACTATCAGAATTATTTGGAACGCAGAAGTGAGTGGGATGAGGACAAGAAGAACAAACTTGCGAGGTTATATGAAAGGTATGTTCTAAGCGACAGCGAGGCGGTGCCTCGAGATTAATCAAACGGTTGTTGATTTTCATTGCAGATTCAAGGCAGAGATGTGGTCAAAGGTAGCAGAGGAGATGGCCATTCCGTGGAGGGCTGCAGAAGCCATGCACTGGCAACTGGGAGAACAAGAAATGGCGCGCCGAGCGGGAGTAGTCCCATTCTCATTATCAAGTACCGCCATAGATCCACCAGCGCCCCGAACTCGCAGAGCCAGCACGTCTCTAGCTCGACCGAGAAAAGGATCGACGTCTCGTCCAATCCCTCCTCCGCCGCAACTTCCTTCGGTGGAGGAACTTACCGCTGGAGTTCCTGCATTTGCACCGCACCCAACTTTTCCGGCTCCCCGCGAACCCTATAGATTGGGGCGACCCTTGGACCTGGGTGGTCACAGTGGTCATTTGGGACCCAACCTCGGTCTGCCCCCTCGAACCCTCCCGTAGAGGGTATGAAGAAAACGATGTCTATGCCTGTGTGTTTTGCGTTATTACGAATTGCATAGCGCTGGTTGGAGGTATATCTTCTTCACTCATGGGAGGGCTTGTCATATAAGAGCTCTTCCGAGTGCGTGTGTGCGCGTTTTTCATTATCCTCATCTGGCTTTGATCTTGCTACACATGAAAAGGCACCTTCGAGAGGAGGCCTCAATTTGACGAGTCCAATGCTCGTATCGTCATTCCTGTCGTGAGTGCTATGCAGATGTGGGAGACGGGCTTCGAGGCTGGATCTCGATGATCCCACTGCAATCATGTATCTCATGGTGATCCTGGGTTTATCCGTGTTGCGATCGCCCACCAGTTGTCTTTCTCATATCCTGATTCCAGGACATGGCCTCCCGCCTTGTTGATATCCTGCTCGAGTTCCGACTCCTTGTAAAGGTGGTAATACCGATGGAACACCTTGGGCTCGTTGGAAGGAGCGTCTGCAGAAGGGGTTCCCTTCATGACCCAGGGAACCATTATATCTTGCGGATCACCTTTGTCCCAACCTCTACGGCTGCTTTTCTGTTCCAGGGCCCAAGCATAGATCAGCGCTCTCCCACCCGGAGAATCTTCGGTAGTAGGTTTCAGCGTACGCAGGATCTCGCGGATAGCTTGGACCCTTCGTTCAGGCGTGGACAGGTGGTGGACGACAGCAATCGAGATGGCGAAGTCGAAGAAGGAATCGGGATGTGGGAGGTGGAGAATATCGGCTATGATGGTTGAATGTGGCTGATGCTTTTGTGCAATTTGGGCCAAATTCGCGGATCTGACATGGAATGATCAGCTTTTGAATACAATGGGAGGTAAATGCCTGCGTACAACAGGCTCTTTTTGGGACAGGAATGACATGAGAATACCCATATACGAAGTACGGTAGATAGAAAGAAACAAAACTGAAATTGAAATCCAATACTCCAAGACGAGACGAGACATTCTGCAAGGGAAAGAAACATACCTATCCGAAGCAACAATAAAGACCTCGCGGTTCACGGCCAGATACTTGCCATTGCCACATCCCACATCCAAACCAACGGAACCGGGCTCTAAACCTCTAAGAAACTGTTCCACAATGGGCCAAGGCTGTCGAAGGGTTAACACAGAATCCCGAGATTGCAATTGGAATATCGAGGAGGGGTTGAGTTCGGCAGGAAAAAAAGCGGTAGTACCTTATAACGAGTGGAGGAAAAATGACTGGCAATTTGTTGGTACACTTCATGGACATTCTGCTCTTCATACGATTCCTGATCAGCCGAGGGAATGTTTGCCAGGGCTGGAACATTCGGGGCAGCCATCTTTCTTGTTGGTGGTTTTCCCTCTTGGTTTCCCACACTGAATAACACTCCTCCCACGATAGAAATCAAATTTGTTGTTTCTACGAGAGTTTCGGGATCGTTCTCTAGAGATTATTGCACCCCGCTGTAGGCTTGGAAGCTACCCAGATCTCTGAACTGCAGTGCGATGTAGAAGTTGATTGAATGATTGGAGCTGAAAACGTGCAAAGAAACGAAACAAATTTGGATGTTTGGAGGAGGGGCCGAATTTCTCCTTCTACACACAAGACGTCATCTCGCACTGTGTATGCTGTATGGTATCGGTAATACTACCTAAAAGCTCACTGTATGTAATATTAATCATCACGTTAGTTACCGTACACCACGTGCTCATTGGCGGTTTGGCATCAAAGGAAGCAAACAATCCCCACGATTTATCAGGAACATTAAAACTAGTAGCAGCAATTCCTTTGCTTGTCAATTCCTCTCGGCGTTGATATCAGATATCAACAGCCACTGCTCCGATATAAGTTCTAGCTTTCCTCCATCTGGGAAGGCATCTTGATCTGGTCAGTATCATAAATACCCCCTTTCAGACATTGTAAGCTATTCAAGAACGCACCTGTGGCCCCTCCCAATTCTGTACATTCTCCTATAGTGGAAGAAGCCCCTCGCGGGGCAATTTGATTATATAAATGATGAATAGCCTGACCCTGAATATTACATGCAATTCACTGAGAATTCATGTCTATTCATGTCATCTTCTGTCAATCCTTGAACATTCCCCTTGACACTACTCTATCTAATTCGTGAAAATAGAAAGAACTAAGTCCCTCCCTGTTGGACTGCAAACACGGACAGGCACAACGACGTAGATTGTTGAGCTCCAGAAGCAGTTCGGCTTCCACAATATTTCTATCTCAAGCACTTTGAATAGCTTCAGACTGCTCCAAAACCATGGCTTTTCAACCTACTCCGGCGGACATTTCTGTCGCCATTACCACGCCCATTGCAAATTCCAGTGCCGAGCCACGCTTGCTAACAGAGCGTCGTATCACTCCCACTTGGAGTGTCTCGCAGCTTAAGGGCAAGCTGGAGACTATGACAGGCGTACCTCCCGGTAGCCAGCGGCTGCTTCTCAAGTCCCCTGGTCGTCCTGACCAATGGGTTGAAGGCGACGACTCCATCATTGGGGACTGGGGGTTGATGAAGGGTTGTGAGATTGAGGTAGGTCTTGTTCTTCTGTTCATCTCAATTTCTGGAATACTCGACGTTCTCCAGTCTCTGAGATAGTAGATCCTGGTCAATGATCGGTTTCGATTATTACTCGCTCAACAAATCCATGTGTTGCTTATTGAAGACCTTGGTTTCCTTTCATTCATCTTGGAAACACGTCTCAACCAGGAGATTTTCAGTTTATACAATGAGCGTTTACTCATGTCTCAACCTAGGTGCACGATACTCGTCCTCAAGCAGCCCGGCCAAATTTCACCGACCTATCATCCGTCGAAAAATACGTCCTTCCTACATCCACCTACGAATCACTCTCGAACTCCGTTCTAGCATGGAAGAAGAACCAAAAACTTGGCCGGTTCGATCCGAACGCTCTAACCCCGGAAGACTCGATCCGTCAGCAATCAGAGAGAGATGCTGCTGAGATTCAACAGAGAGGTGGGTAACCAGATGTCCTTGAGCTTGTTACACTGATCGGGGTGTTGGCTTCGCGAACTTTCCACTCGAAAAGGACCTGTCCTGGGGCTTTAAGCAGAAGAATTCTGATGGTTTTACTTATCTAGGTATTGCTGTTGATAAACGTGCTATCGTCTTGCCCTCGTCCCCGCCCCATATTCGACGAGGAACGATTCGATTTGTTGGTCCAGTGCCTACGATCCCTTTCCCGGGCGTGGACCCTAAGAAGGTGCAGTTAGATCCCGAGGCTCTCCCTCTCTGGGTGGGCATTGAGCTTGATGAGCCGTTGGGAAAGAACGATGGCAGCGTAGGCGGCCAAAGGTTCTTTACCTGCCCGAATAAGACTGGTGTTTTCGTGAAGCCTGAGAAAGTCGAGGTAGGAGACTTCCCGCCGTTGGACTTGGATGACTTGGATGATGAATTAATGGAGGAAATTTGATACGTTTCTTCCAAAGCGTCAAGTATGAACACACGGATTAACACAAAAATAAAGCAAAGCCTGCTACAATGTACTCCTAATCTCCCTCAAGTTACTCCGATAAATCTACAGCTCATGTCCCCTTGTTCATTGATAACCCACTGTCTGCAAAATAAAAAGGGAGAAGAGAAGGAAAGAACACAGGAGAAGAAAAGAATGGGGGACGAAGCCTTGAGGACGTGAGCAGACTTCCATCCCAACAATTTCATGTAACTAGCGCTAATCCAGAGGTCAAAGCCCGGTGCTGGGCAGGATATAGGTGGTGGGTGTTTCAAGATGATAGGAGACGTATAGAGCGAACTCGGACACAACGTTTCATACGAGATCACGTTGCCTTACGTCCGCCTGCTTTCTGTTTGCCCTTCGGTCGACCTTTTACGCCGGTCGGACGGCCAGTCGGTGTACTTGAATCCCCGTCCATGGCTCCGGGTTTGGTTGCCGACCCGGGAGCAGAGTCGTCGTTCTCCACCGGGACGCAGCCTTGTGTGAAGAACAGCCGGGCATCCTTATTCTGCGTATTGGCAAAACTGTAATAGTTGCCTGCAAACTCGATTAGGATTTCCATCGGTACGGGGCCAAGTCTCCCATATTGTCAAGGAAAGTTGTAATACGGAGCTCACTCACCTCTTGGTACCTGGAAGACACATCCTTTGCCGGCACTGAATCGTACACCGGAGATGTCTACTTGCACCCGACCCTGGCAGATGTAGAAAACCATGTGCATCTTCTTAGAATTCTTGGGCTTCTTAACCCCTCCAGGCGGCAGTTCCACAATCCCAGAGCCCAAGAAAGGCGAACTGAGAAGTTTGGCAAACCGCCACGAGGAGTCCTTGACACTCCTTGTCTCCATCCCAGCAGGGGCGTACGCAAGGTCTACGAGCGACTACGTTAGTACACGGCAACCATAGTTAAAGGAGAGTACATACCAACGATCTCCTCTTCTTCACCAACTGCCTGGGCTTCCTCGTCCCACCTCCTGATATAGCCATGCAGAATCCCGCTTTCCTTCTCCCAGGGATCAACATATCCGTCTTCTTCATCCGAGGAATCGTCGTTTTTACCCTTCCTTGATTTAGATTTCTTATTAGGGCGGCGCTTGTTCGATTTCGGTTTCTCTGGTTCGAGTTCTTCCGTGCGAATAATCTCTTTGATGGTCGATAGCGGATACCGTTGGCCCTCCACAGCTTCACCATCGCCATAGACGCATCGTTCATTTCGCCAGTATGCAAGAGGTCTGACAGAAACACGCCCGGATCGTGTATGGGTGGCAGCGCCTTCGGAAGGTACTTCGCGCTTCAGGATATAGAGACTCCGGCCCTTCAATGGCCCTGTGCGGTTGACATAGTTCTCCACCACCTTGTCCAGCTCTGCATTGCCTGAAGGACTTGGGTTTTTATCAGCTTTGTCCGATACCCTAGGCTTTTTCGACGGCCGTTCTTTCTCCACTTCCTCGCTAGATTTGCGTTGCGTTCGCGGCGGCCTCCCAGGACGTTTGCGTTTTGGTGCTGGCTGTTCTTCCTCAATCTCCTGCGCCTGCGCAGCCGTGGACGCTCCGGCCCTTGCACCTTTCACACCTCTAACAATCCTTGGAACAGGTTTGGCCTGTCCTCTCTTGCTGCGGGATTCGGAGACGGTTACCGGCGAGTCCAGGTCGGCGCCAGTGTCATCTTGTTCATCTGCATGGTCGTCCGTCGAGGCATCATCGCCTGCATTGAAGCTGTCCATAAAGTCGTCGTGTGTCTGTGCAAATGAATGCCCGTTCTCGTCTCTGTTTAGCTGATTCTCGGTATCGCTATCGGAAAAGCCGGAGTCCATAGGCTCCTCTGTTGGTTCATCATTAAGTTTGTTGTTCCGTGCACCATTGACTTGGTTTAGAACCGGTGGCGCATTTATGGAACGACTAGTAAGTGGAGATACATCTCGTCGTGATTCCCCCCTGGCACTCCCCAGGCCTTTACCGTCTGAGGGACTGGAAGACGGTTGTTCGCGTTGCGGGCTTTGGGAGGATCGCAAGCCGGGAGTCCTCCGAGGTGAGCCAGTCAGCCCGGTCTTCATGGGAGAGCGCGCAACAGGAGGCGGGAAGTAAGAGCTCCGTCTGCTCTTTAGGAAATCGGTTGGGTTCGGACCATTCCCTGCCAAATAGTCATCATCGTTAGTATTCAGCTACAATAATGACGAGCTGTGAAACGCACCTTCGTCGATAGACATGCCATCCGAGCCGGTAGAATCCTCAGCTCGGTCACTGAAGCCATTCTCTTTTACGGGCGACGTCTCGGGCGAAGAGAATATCCCATCAACTTCTTCCATTCCATATTCATCACGTTTCCCTTCCTTCAACATTAACCCCGTGCGCCTGTGACAGTCACCTGCATCAGCCTCCCAAAATTCTAATAGGTGGAAGCGACTTGAACGGGAGCAGGGGATAGAACAAATACTGAACAGGGGCGATCAATGAGAAATGGCATCGATGATACCGACCTTCCAGCTTTGCCAACATTGGCATAATCGAACTCGCGAGCCTTCGCAGGGCCCCGGGGAGCCATTGTTCCGGAGATTCGGGAGCTTGTATGCGGCAGCTTTGAGAGAGGCAACGAGAGGGGTTCAGTGGTGAGACGCGTACGGACCGGGCAGGATGCGCGCGAGACCTGCCGTATAAAACGTAAGTAGGCGACTGTAGGAGATCACAGTAGTTGCGATTTAGCGGAGAGGGGAAACAAAATCCCAGGTCTTGGGGATGGCGAATGAATGCTGCGGAGGGGAGTTGGAATCCGTGAGGGCGGCGAACAAACACGCGCGGAAGCGCCGCTAGTCCGGAACCGTTTGGGACGCGTCCATCTTTCACTTTCAACAATTCATCTCAGTTGCACTCCCCGACTACACCTTTCTTTCCCTTTCGCTCGCTTATCGTGATCGCAAAGTCCCGCCTGGAACCAACACAATCATGGGCGATTCAGCAGACAACTCCACTGGCCCTCCCCTGGGGGAGTCTCCCGTTACTGCAACAGGCCTCTTCATCCCTCCAAGTATAGATCACTCTCAGCTCTTCGCCGGAGAGTCCTACTCTTACTATTCACCTTGTCCTCCTGTCATTGCAACCTCCAAAGCCACTGAATCTGCTACGAGCTCTTCACCAAATCACCTTGTCTTGGGCGTAGACGAGGCCGGACGCGGTCCAGTTCTAGGCCCCATGGTCTACAGCGCTTTTTACTTGCCCCAAGATCTGCACCATTCCCTCTTGACTCGTGATTACAGTTTCAACGACAGCAAAGTTCTTACGCCCGGCGTGCGCGCTAATCTCATGAAGCTACTATGCACCCCGGGAAATCCCCTACACGAATCCTGCGGTTGGGCCGTGAAGCTACTATCAGCGCGTGACATCTCGTCCGGTATGATGCGGCCTGGAGCGGGAGCTTATAACCTGAATGCGCAGGCAATGGATGCTACAATTGAACTCATCCGTGGGATCATTGAGGATCGCAACATGGATGTTCGAGAGGTCTACATCGATACGATTGGAAACCCCGCAACCTACCAACAGAAACTCGAAAAGATATTCCCATCACTCAGAATCACCGTGGCGAAGAAGGCCGACTCGTTATATCCATGCGTGAGTGCTGCAAGCGTTGCTGCCAAAGTCACCAGAGACGTCGCCCTGGATCTCTGTCATCAGGCTATATATGAAGACGTCCATTCGGAGGATGCATCGGAGGCGGTGGTGCCACAGAGTTGGGGAAGCGGCTATCCCTCTGATTCAAAGTGTGCTAATTGGTTGAAGAAGAACATGGATCCGATCTTCGGATGGGGCAACGAATGCCGATTCAGTTGGGGCACCGCAAAAGAGTTGCTCGAATTGAAGGGAAGGCCAAAGGTCGACTGGCCTGGAGAAGAAGAAGAAGAAAATACGCAGCTCAGGGACTTCCTCTTATCTTCAACCAGTAACACTACTAAAGCTCAGCACGAGCTACTGGAATGGTACGGGTCAAGGTCCACTGAGGTCCTCTCTTAGCCAAACATGAGTTTATCCTATATCATACGCAGATGCGGAGGTGACGATAATAATGACCAAATGATACCCACTTTCTTTTGCAACGTGATTGCTCTTAGGTTCTATGGAAGCATATGAAATAGTTGTATTTTGCACTTATATGGGCAAGTTGAAGCAAAAACAGAATATAGCGGTTTAACATATTAAAAGGGGGTAGCTTGGGGATGGTAAGCCATCGGGTATCTAAGTACGAGAAGACGGGCTGTGTGAGGTACAGGAGGCTCCCGAGGTAAAGCAAAATGCTGGCAAAAATGGCAGAAACATATGACGCTGGCAGAACACAGCGAGCTTCAGAGTGTTGTAGTCGCAAAGTAGTAGTTGTCCCAAAGATACTCGTAATCATCAATGACACTGCCTACCAAATCAAGCAGAGGTTTGCCCCTCATCTTGCCGGTCAGGCCTTTCAGCCAGGATCTGTGTAAAAGTCAGTACAATACTCTATCTCCTTGTCGGTAGTGTGGGAAAGGCGGGAGTGCCGTACTTGGTAATGTTTTCATAGAAAGCCCCACGCATAAACCACCAGCCCATCGCCCAACCTCTCTTCTTCAGTTCCTCCCGCTCCAGCCCGGTCAATCCCCGAAGGCCGCCTGCAACTCTTTCGCGAAGATCAGCTTTGGCTAGTTGTCGACAGCCATACTCCATGCCGAACCCAATGAGCCAGGGTTTCCAACTCCGCCTGTCTTTGCAGTATCGTTGCAGCATGAGCGCATAGACTACTGGTCGGAGGATGTATAGAATCTCAGCGAATTGGCCCTGGCCAGTGACTCGGTGCAACAGCGTTTTCGGTGGCTTGATATCGTCGGCCGTAAGTACTTTAGATATCAAGTAGTTCGAAAGGTCGTCCACATTAGGCAGAGAAGGAAGCGACAGGCCTGTGCGAGGCATAGTCCAGCACAAATCCGACGACTTTTCGCTA